CTGAGCAACAGTCTCTGCAAAATACATATTAATTAACACACACAAAAAATAAAACTAGTAGATTTTTTAGGTTATGTGGTAGGCACATAGTTTACCACACAACAAGTAAAATCTACCACAAAGCATACAATGATTTTTAGATAGGATAGATGCGTAAGATCTCCGCAAGATCCAGATCCAAGCGTGCGTACGCTGCCGCATCATGCATACATATATAATACGCACGCAAATTCGTTATTCTTATTTCCCCTTCTTTGATTCGCATGCCATAGCATTACGTACGCACGCTTGGATCCGGATCTTGCGGAGATCTTACGGATCTATTCTATCCAAAAATTATTGTATGCCACAAAGTGTCACATGTATTTGCACTAATATTTGTAATCTACTGCAAATTGTCGCATCTATAAACTGTCAAATTTACAAATACCAATGTATGACACTTTTTACATGGGATACTTATTAATGCAAATATATGTGACACTTTTTTGTAGATTTTACTCGTTGTGTGGTAAACTATATGCCTACCACATAATCTAAAAAATCTACTATTTCTTTTTTTGTGTGCATATACCCAAATTTTAAAACGAATTATTTTCTTCGATATTTCGGACATAAATTCTCCATTAGATTTGTATAGGGGAAATTGTAACGGGGGAAAATATGAGCAAAGATATCCACCACCGACGATCACTGCAGTTGTCGTGAATACTCATAACTCTACCATACTCCAGATGGCGCTGGGTTCCTCTATTCAATGTAGTAATGCTACCACCAGTGATTGTCAAATGGCTTGCTATAAGCAGCTTGCTTGCCTGCGTCGCCTATCGTGCGGCAAGCAAGCAAACATGTGGACACATATACGGCAAACGAACCATATGTACCAAACAGTTTTCGTTCGTGCGAGATGCGGTATCTGTGTAGACGTATTGGTCGCACGTACGAAAACCGTGTAGTAGATATGGTTCGTTTGCCGTATATGTGTTTGCATGTTTCCTTGCTTGCCGCACGATAGGCGACGCAGGCAAGCAAGCTGCTTATAGCAAGCCGTATGACATTCTCTGGTAACCAATGATTTACCGGTATATTCACCAGTAGTTCACCAGCACTACCTTTTTACGGTTGACGTATTGGATATTTGACTTATCCAAGACATCAACCAAACGTAAAGGCACTCCATTTTACGTGTGTCTGTGCTGAACCCATTATTCGTTGTGCACACACATGGGACCGACGGCTTTAAGTGCCCTCCGAAGCACTCCACGACTGTAATTCCTGAGCGAATCGCGACGTAAAAATACCGGACCAAATTTGACCGAGAATCGAACTCGTGTACTCACGCTCGCAAACCTGGCACAAATCACTAGTCTATGGCTTAGTTTTTGTGACCGTTTGCATACAGTACAGGCCACAGGTTTGAATACACCTAAGTATATCTGTAACACTTTTGTCTATTAGTGCATTGAACTGATTAATATCAAATATTTGTTGTTATTTACATTAAATGCCTAGGGCACGTTTGATATTCTGCACTTGTCGTAGAGCATCCTGAAATATCCCTTCAATTTCCTGAAGCCCTTGAACAACATCAGGTGGCGGAATATTTCCATTGGCCGCGGTGACGGCAGTTGCAACCTGTACGGCAGATGCGGGTGTGTGCAGATTGTGTACACAACTCTTTTGCAACACGTGTGCTGCTTGGCAGGTGGACCAGCAAGGTGCTGGAACGCATCGTTATCGTCGATGAAACGATGCGCCCACATCAAAACATTACACCTGCCTTCACCTACCATGCGCTGGCACCGCCAAACCGAACATTTCCAAACCACGTAGCCAGGTAATGATGTAGGATCTCTACGGGATCTACATATGTCAGAAGAAATGAAAAACTTTCAACTCTCTCAAACGCATTCTGTTGAAATTGCACTTACAGTTTGTGACACATGAGTGATCCATGTTGGGTGGTGCAACTTAAAAATTTCTTTGCAATTTGCGTAAACATCGTAAAATTACATCTGTCGGGTGCCCCTAGATTGTTAGTGTAGGGCTTGCCAGGTAGCAAGGCAATAAATTTGGATTAAATTTTGTACTTTTCTTTTTGCTGCCGGAGAGCTTTTTGAAATATTCCTTCAATTTCCTTAAGCCCTTGGACAACTTCAGGCGGCGGAATATTTAAAAGGCGGCACCTTCCATTACCTGCCTTCCGCTGGCACTTCCAAACCACGTGCGTAGGCAATCCATTTGGATCTCCACGAGATAGAAATTCGGAGCAGTTTTTTAAAAATTATACCAACAGAAGAAAAAATTGAAATTTATACCCTCAGTAGTGAGCCACTTATATGAGACACCCTGTGTATTGAAATTTATTTGTGTAGTTATAACTAGCATGCCATGTAGCATTTTTTTTCGTGTTTTCGACTGCCTTTTTGCCGCTACATGGCAAGCTTATATAAAACTCTCGGTGCCTCAGTATAATGCGCATAAATATTGATTTTTTTTCGTATTTTCAACTGTCTTCTCTGCTGCTACATGGCATGCTTATATGAAACTCTCGGAGACTCGGTATAGCGCACAAAAATATTGAAAAAAAATTTGTTTACTAAAATTTATCCAAAAATAAATGAGACTTCGGATAAACTGAATTTTATGTCAAATCGTCTCATATTGAGGTTAGGTGTCTTTTAAATAGATGTTTGAATTATTTCTGGAAATGGAATGCAAAACTAAGAAAATTAATGTTATTTATTAGTTTATTTTTTACCTAATAATGTAAATAATTTATGTAATAATGAAGATAAAGGTATTTTGAAAATAGAAAATATGTAACTAGGGGATAGACACCAATTTCTAGTATATTGAGTTTCATTTAATATATATTTAGTTTCTTTTAGATTCTTTTAGTATACAAACAAAAACGCAAGTATTCTGCTAGTATTCCTAGTATTGAGCCAAATGAATCGTGCCAGTGTGAGGACATTTTTACAGAAAACAATAGAAACCATTGTTCTCACTGAACGCAAATATTTTGTTTGCAAAAATGTACCGTTAATCTCATCATAAGAAAAGTGTTGGCAATGTATTTTGTATGGATCGGTCGAAGAATCAATATGAACATTTGTTCACAAATATTCTTTTAGTAGCTTCTAATAGATTTCAGTAAACTTTTAGTTTTGTATAGTAAAAATGGTAAAAATTTGTGTCTACCCCCTAGTTATATAATGTAATCAAAATATATTTGTCTTACAAAATATCGACTATTCGAAGCATATGCAAAGTTCAAAGGTCTGTGATGAACTTGGTATAGATTTGTTTGCATTTGCTTCTTCTGACTGTTGAAGCAGTGATCGTCTGTATTGTCTTCTTTTGCTCTTTAAAAATGTTATGACATGCCCAATGCAAATTAAATCGAAATGCAACTCAAGTTTTGGGGTACGTTAACATATTCATCATATTCAGAGCTTGAATTTGTCAGTCACGAGGAGCGCGCTTGCTGGGAGACACTCCTAGCCATGAATGTGTTAGTGTGAATAACGTTGTGTGTATTAGTGTGCGCTGTATACTAATACAAACTCAAGAGCGTCTCCTGACAAGTAAACTATACTCCTCTGAGGCACAGAGCTCGCTAAACTGGCGCATTACTTCACAAGTGCGATTTCATGCTCTGATTAGAATTATTCAGATTAATACTTATATATTATAACGTACGCATAATGAGGATATGATTGTTCTACTCTTTTCTTTCCCACTCATTTTCTTTGATTGTGCTATCAACATAGTTTTTTGTGTGTCGGTTATAAATTCTTGTCTCATATTACATATATTCATTCGTCGGCAAGTTTTGCGATCACATGTCAAATTTTAAGAAAGATTATTTCTATTCTAATTCATTTTAATTCCGAATAAGTGACTAAAAATTGTCACGTTAAAAAGCTGCCGTTTGCAAAACTGTGTAAATTTGTTTTTCTTTTCGAACGTTTTAAAGATGATTAAAGTAGTTATTGCACTATCGTGCCTTCTGGCAATCATCAGTTGTGAGGAAGAGCTGGGAATAGAGGAAATATTTGTACCCAAGATATGTGAAAAAAAGTCGAAAAATGGCGATATACTTTCAGTACATTACATCGGCACATTCACTGATGGCACCAAATTTGACTCAAGCTGGGACAGAAAGCAACCGTATAGATTTCAAATTGGCAGAGGACAAGTGATCAAGGGATGCGATCAAGGACTGCTAGATATGTGTGTTGGAGAAATTCGTAAGTTGACAATGCCACCGTCATTTGCGTACGGTGACCATGGAATTGAAAATACAATCCCACCAAGTGCTACATTAGTTTTCGAATATGAACTCATGGATATTCAAAGTGAAGAAGCCTTTTATCAACATAATGAGTTTTAGTTCTTACTTATTAAAACAGAATATATCAGAAAATTATCTTTTATTTTTCAATCATATAAAGAATTCACTGTCAAACGTACATGTTCTATATTCATGTTGTTGTATATGCGTGACAGTGTAAATATTTTGTCACTGAGCGCCTGGTTCTTTGGACTAATAAGTTTCTTGTTTGAAATTGTTTTATGGATAAAATATCTAATTTGGTGACATCATTTATTTTTTAAAAGAAGTGTAATGCTTGTAAATCATGATCAATAAAATTCATTTGATTTATAGTTTACTTGTTTTATTTTTATTTTTTGTTAAAAAATGTCTCTTTTCAAAAGTAAATAAAAAAATAAATATTACACATAATTCACATGACAATTGGATAAAATATATTTCAGTCAGCCCGCATAATGTAAACTCAACCGAAATGCAACTTCAATTAAGTTTTGAGGTATGTCAGCCCGATGGCAAATATAGACTTCCTTGGATGGATTTGTAAAAAGACGCCTGAAAATGCGTATTGTCGAATTTAATGATTGAAATCTTGTTCAAACTCAAGAATTGAAGAAAAAAAACTTGTATATACCCAATGACCCAGAATGGTTTATATCCAGAATCAAGTTCATCGGAAATGAGAATGCCGTGCTCCTTTATCGCAACTAAAGATCGATTCATACTATGTGTTGAAGTTTCCTGAGACAATAGATGCCTAAATCTATAGATCAATTAAAAAAATCAAAAAAATCATCAAAATACGGATTAAAAACCAAATAACACGAATCTTTGCATTAGATATTTTCATCAAGGTTAAATGAACAAATAAAATTATCAAATAAATTGAGTTCATCAATTTTTTCCGTGTCTTTGACTTGCGTTTTTTTTTCTAGTACAAATGTTTGTTTACCTTATCGTATTTTGAAGAATGTTGTGAATCATCAAACATGCCTTTTGAAATGCAAATGAAACTACATTAATTGAATTGGTTGATGGTGGTGCTAGAAGAATTCCTTCATCCATTTCCAATTGCACATAGTGATACAAAACATTTTCCCTTCCAGCTGTCACTCTAGAAGGGCGAAAAATTTCATTGATTGGCTTGATTGCATAAAGATTAGTATGGATAAACTAAATGACTAGCGAATTTGACTGGAACCATCGTTGAAATGGCCCAGTAAATCGCAAATACATTAATATTTACTTGCTCAATAAAACATCAGAAATTTCTCGAAAAAATGTGCTCGCTATATCAGACATATCAAAACCGCTACTACTTCGTTGACTCTCCTAATCAAAATATATACTATTCAATGGAAATTTCTATAAAAGAAAATGTTCTTTAGCCTTGTGTGTTGTGTCTACCTGAAAACCATCCCAATCCGAATCGCTTTCATCATCATCGTCATCATCATATTTCTGTAATGACGTATCACTATACGTTTGACTGTGTATCGATGGAGAATGTCCGCGGCCAGCAGCAATAATTGATGACGTTGTATACTTTAGATTATCATTGACATTGACATTCTCGGATGAAGTATTTCGCCGCTTAAGAATCGAAATGACTTCAGTGTTTTTTAAACTCATTGCCAATGCTTCGACTGTGCTTGTTGACGATGTAGCTGCGCTCATATTAGTTGCATTTTGACTTGAACTCCCTTGGCCACCAGACGCTGTTGCACCATTTGCCTCTTCTTTGAATAATAAAGTCTGAACAAAAGATGAGAAATCAAATATAAATAATGATAAATGTAGGGTTCAATATGAAATAGTATACTTCTGGTCGTTTATTTGCATTTAACCATGTGCTGGCCAAATTTTCGATGCCACCCGATTGTAAATGATCGAGTGTGTCTTGAATTTCTTCGATATAAAAACGTGATGGTCCAATATATCCGGATGCATTGGCCGATGAAGTAGGTTCATCTGGATTGTTTCGATGGCGTGACTCCAAAATAACGGCCATAAATAGTTGATTTCGTGCAACGATCGTTAAAAACCATCTTGATACTCGATTTGGTCGTCCATTCATTTCATTCTCCAGATTGGATTGATGCACACTGTTCGGAAAAATTTCACGCCACACAATCAATTCTCTCACCGGTTTGTTTTCAATCAGTAAATAAATGCCATTTATTCGTAAAAAGGCTTCAATATCAAGCAAATCGGATGTTGGCAAATGTGTGGCAAGCAAATATTTCCGAAAATACAATGCACTGCCCAATATATAAAATTCACGATGTGATTTTAATGGTTCATCATTCCATTCACGATAGTCCATCGCTTCCATTTCGTTGAGTGCATCATCGATACGTAGTTGGCCCTCTTTCGGTAGGGCTACATAGTGTGACTCCTGTAAAATGTCTTCAAATCGAATATTCCACGGATGTGATAGAGACAATAATAATTTGCATATTGCACATATATCGTCGATGGCAAAATTTTTAAAATCTTCATTTTGCTGCGAATCATCGTCCAGCACCGAATTTGTTGAATCATTTGTGAAAAATGCTTGCGCCAAATTAAAGGCGGAAAATTTCAAATTTCGAACGATTGTGTTCAATTTTAATTTTGCATCTTGGAACGTAGTCCGTTTTGCAGGTATTGCTATTAGAAGCAACTCTGTAATCAATAATTAACTGTTAATTTTGTATGTTAAACCCATTATAAAGAGAAAATCTTTACCATCATTGCAACTGTAATACGAAACATAATATTCGATCGATTGAATGCTAATGCTACTAATTTTTGGCCTCGAATTAAATGTACACTCTCTGAATAATGAATTCATCGTTAAGAATGTGCCACGTATGCCATACAAATAGTTCGATTCTTTTGGTGGATAACTAAAAAGAACATCTTCGCCATCCAAAATATTTTCACCGTTTTGCTTAAGCGATAGAAATAAAAGGCTGAAAATTGGCATGTTATCGCGTTCATCGTGTCGAATGGCGGGAAAAAAACTTCTTAGTGTATCGACAAATTCATTTGTATTCGTTACTTTTGCGATATTTGGATGATGTTGTGGTGGCTCTTCGACGGCAATACGTTGTAATTGCAATTTAATATACGTTGGCTGTGTAAAACTCAATAAAATCAATTCAAAATTCTCAACGTTAATGTCTTGATTGTTGATTGCTTTCAACCAATCACCAATTTTGAACGCTTTGTCTTGACTAATTTCTGAATTTGGCATATAACCAGCAATCATGATCCGTGAACTATCTGGAAATGGACAAACTGATACACCAAGCAATGCTTCTGCCACCGATGTTCGTCGGCCATACTTTAATCGCATCGATGGATCAATAAATACGGTAATTTCCTTAACTTCGCCACCTGCCATTTCGTTAAATTTCACTTTGTTTGTGGTGTCACGATCACTAGATAAGATGTCACTTTTATTTCCTGCATTTGTCTTTTTAGTCGATGATTTTTTTTTCAACGCTTCCTTATGCGCTTTGTGATTGCCGTTTATCAAATTTCCCAAACGAATGCCAGTTTTTTTACTACGACGTGTCGATGTTCGTTTAAAATTACTTCGCCACGCCAATAAACTTTGATTCTTTTCCATGTTACTGGACATATTGGACATCTGTTGCACCGGTTGAATGTTATATTCCAAATAGAAAAGCGATCCATCTCGATTAATATGAGATTCCCATTCGACTGTGTAACTATCATCACTGTTTTATCAAGGAATCATGCATGATCATTTTACAAACAAATTCGATCATTTTGAGAAAATTAGTTTCAAATCCATACCTTGAATGTTGTGAACCGGATGAATCCGAATAACTTGAACTCCAATCATCCGACGAAGATGATCCCATTGTTATGATCTTTTTGGGTCTTGATGAAACATCAGATCGTAATAACGATTTTGTTTCCGAAAATGCCATTTTGCCACATACAAATGGTTGCACAAATATTTGAAAATAAAAGAAACGAAAAGAATTTTCTCACGATAAACGAGCTCTATTTTTGTTTACGGTTGCATTCCATGATTATCGCAGTTATTACAGCAAAACCAGTTTAAACGTCAGTCACAGCGTTGGACGTAACAAACAGAAACTGCTTTAGACATATTCACCTGTCACACATTCAACTCCACCAAATGTCGTAACAGGTGAATATTACGAATTTGGGCTTTTCGGGCTAAATAAAACGCAATAATCCATTGTTTAAGTTATTTTTACTATTTAACTAATTTGGTTTTGGAAATAATACAGAATTATAGCGCATATGAAATATTCTCCTGACGATCCAATCTAAATATAGATCAACTCTCTGAAAAAAAGCAAAATTATTATTCTATTTACAAACAATAAAATGTATACTCTACAAACGTTACCTTATAGAGCTGTCTCGGAGAGTGCCAAAAAGAAATTTTTTATTTTGTCACGCCAACAGCGATTTCTGTTTTAAACCATTCACAAGGTTCTAGTTGCTGTAGAAATTAGCGAAACTACTTTATTGAAAAATATTGGCATTTTCCATATAAAATACATTGAGATGCACTGTTGTCTCCGCCCACAGTTTGATGAAGGTGATTTTCATTATAAATGGCATAGATCATGTAGGGTTACCAATTGCAATAATCAGCTTGTTATTGCAATTCGATTGGTGTTTTGTTTTATTTTTAATTAGAAGTACACGATTCGTCTTTTGCCAGATCTGTGCAGTATTCATGTTGGTGGTAATATCAGTCATCTCAGAGACCATTGTATGTTTTATCCCGTGTGCAAAAAACGTGACTTACAGTCAGTCAAGTATAAATTAATTCGGCTCATCTGATTGCAAAGTTGACTACAATCGACTATAATCGCTTTATTTTGTTCGAAGCAATCAGCTAATATTTTTACACACGAGATTGTAGTTAATTATTTTGTAAGATTGCAACGGAAAAATAATTTAAAAATCCATTTTTTCGATAAATTTCAATAAAAATTACAAGTACAAATCATTCTCATACAAATTCAGAAATTCTAAGGAAAAACCTGAATTCCAAGAAAAATAGTTTTCATGGATGAATTTTCCAAAAAGATTTTTTTTGGTGGAAACAGAAAAATAGGAATAGTAGAACAAGTGCGTTATTCATATTTGTATTTCCTCTCTTTAATAAATTAATCAATGATTGTGAACGAACAGTATTTTATAAATTAAAAAATAATAATAATAATAATAGTACAATTTGCATGATATTTTATAGGCCGAAAATGTGCTGCAAATTGGCTATACACTTTGCTCATTTTCTTCGCATCGAAGCATTCACAGCACATTTTCAAGCCGCATTGTTTTCTGCTTTCTTTAATAATTGCAATACATAAAAAGGATAATAATAATAATAATCTAGTGCATATATTAATACCTAAAATTGGTTGATTGTAACATTTAGTATGGTTTTGTTTTTTTCATTCATTTCAACTTTTCAGTTATTTGTATGGTCTTTTGTTTCATTTTTCCATTTCAAATATAATAATTATAATAAAATGACCATCATCTAGATGCTTATATTTTATACATAAATATATATATATATGAGTGTTTTTTTTCTTTAATCGGACAACATTTGAACAAAACTAACAGGGAACATGCCACGACGTGATGTTCCTTCAATTTCACCGTACATCCAGTTTTCGTCATCGGTACGTTCATTTAATACAACGATTATTTCGTTTTCTTTAAATTCGAGCTCATCGTCATTGTCTGCATTACAATCATACAATGCCCTGCATCGACGTCTTTTTCGCATCTGAAAAAAAAAAACATGAATAAATACACACATTTGAATTTGGAGGATGTTTGTATGAAAATATTATTATGGGTTTCATTGTATACATACATATCCATAATCGCTGGAGTTGTGATCGCGTGCTACTGTGTTTCCTGGTGACAAATCAATACTAATTGAATTGGATGATGCATTCAATATACCAGAAGTTTCGAAACCATTGTTGGAGTAATCCATGTCACCGCTATCGCTGTAGTAAGTTTTTTCCTGCAATTCAAATTGTTCATGAATTTTCACATTTAAAAATGGTCAAATTATTTTCAACTCAAGTAAAATAAAGCTTACACTATATTCTGTGCCATAATCCATTTCACCATGATTGATATCTCTTCCTGCAATTCAAAAAAATAAAAAATAGAATAAAATGTGTCCCATTGTATTTTGCCAAGTAAACATGAATACAGGTGTGCAGTTACGTACCGTTATTCGATGACGGTGTTGTGGCTGAATTTGGCGGTGGTCCAGGTGGTGGTAATTTTGGTCTTATCACATTTTTATCAACAGGTTTCAGTATTGGAATTTCACAACTCGATGGTAATACAAGTTTTGCGCCGGCCAAATGTAAATTTCGACCAATCGATTCACCGCTCAGCGATCGCTTGTGACCAAATGTCGTAAATTCACTGGGCTGTTGCCGATCGGCGGAGTATTTTTGCTTCTCATACTTATCAGGCGTTTCAATTTCAGCTTCAAATGGTAGCGGCTCATAGATTTTATTGCTAAAATGCAAATCAAGCGATTGTTTGGCATTGTCTGAGTTTCGTACGTGCGGCAATGTGCTATAGGTGTCACATTGTATTTTGTTCATGTTACGCGTTTCTTTGGCATCAACACTTTGACTATGCCGTGGTGCATGCGGCAGTGTACTATACATTGTTGGATTTGGTGGTATCGGTGCAGTGCGTTTTTCCATTTTCGATGAGCTCAACGATTTACGATTCGATAAATTTGTCACTTGGGCAAAACTTTTGGCGGCCGCTGTAGCAGCACTGATATTTGACATTGAACCAGGCGACAAACGTCCCGGCTGCGGAAATAGATTTTGTTGCTTTGGACTGGTGCCGGATGATTGATTTGCATATGATGCTGACAATTGATTTGACATTTGACGTTGCAATTGATTCGATATAGCATTTGGACTAGAACCACTTTGAATGGAATCACATGTTGATGAACGTGATCGAATGGCAACGGGCGATTCACCGCCAGCATAGCTTGGCGGACGTGAACGTTTCTTTTCATCAACGACCGTATCATCGTCGGAGAAGTCCGTTGAACCATCGTCATGTGGTAAATTCCAATCGGTGTTTATATGATCGAAGGCGCCCTTTTGTCGTCGAATTGCACACTCAATGAGTTCACGGCATGCATCGTGTCCCATTTCTTTTGTTATCGCTAATGCCGTTTTTCCCTGTTCATTTTTCAACTCATAGTCAGCACCCGATCGCAACAATAATTTCATACATTCTTGTCGATCATGCAACGCACATAAATGTAATGCCGTATTTTTGCCCGGCAAATCGGCCAAATTTGTAATATTGGTCGCTTTATTCAAACCCTGCGATGGCATATTTTGAATGAGAAAATCAACAATATGCAATGTTGATCCCATTTCACGTAAAACAGCTAAATGTAATGCAGTCTCTCCAAGTCGTGATGATGGTAATACCGCCGTTAGATCGGCACCTTCAGCCCAAACTTGAAGCAATTGACTCAAATCAGCATTTATTATCGATTGCTCCAATTCGTTACGTAAATCCGAATCATTCGAACATGTTCGCATCACATAACGTTTGGCCACATATTTTGCTCGTATAAAATCATATCGTTCTTCCATTGAGCTGTCCGGTTCGAGTTTGACATTGCCAATTGTCGCTTCCATCACATCGTTTAGCGTATTATTTCCCATGGCACGTGCAATTAATAAATTTGCCGTTGTGATATTATCCAGCGTTAAACTTTGAATGCGCGAATGATGAACGCCTAAATCACGATGAATACCCGAACATTGAATGCACACCAAAACGCCAAAATTCAAACTAATCCATGACACATCATTTTTCGAACCACAATCACAACATTGATCATTTCCTGGTAAATTTTCCACATATCTGATTAGAGTCTTTTGTAATTCAACTAAACTTGGCGATATTTGAGGATTCGTATGCTGAAAGGTTTTAGTTAACGCTTTCTCCTTGCAATTTATCAATACTGCTATCCATGACTTTTGATCCGCTTCATCTTCAGCTTGAAAATGATATGGCCGATTGTCTATGATTGTGATGGGCGACAAATGCGGAAATAAAAAATATTCGATTTAATAAAATGTAACTAATTTAAATAGATTTATCGAGATTTATTAATGCAACTTACAACTTATCAGATCAAAGCTTCGTTTATCATCAGCGACTGGTTTTATTTGGCACGTTAGAAGATTAACACGTGTCGGTGCTTTTGACTCGTCTGCATGGTAAATATCTAAGAATCCATCGGCTGTGACACGACATCGTCGCTTCTGCCAAACGCGTCTCACTTTTCCTTCGCTTTTTTTCAGTAAATGTCCTGATTTTGTGATGCCATGATTTTTATCACCTTGCAATTGATGCAATGAATATCCTGTCCCTTTTTCCGTTGATAAATTCTAAAATCAAGCGAGAAACAAATCATTTTTTTCTTTCGATTTATAATGAAATTCGTATTCAGTTATATAATTCGAACCTCAACACGATCAAAATCCGGTGCACTTCTGAGCAAAGTTCGTAGCTCAAATAGTTTTCGTCGTTCATCGTCCTGTTTTTGCTTGATACTTTGTAATTTTGCGCTTAAATCATCGATATAAGTACCAAAGTGTGCTATTGTTTTTAAACCATCTTTGAAATAACTAGAAAATATAAAGCAACCGCGTTAAATATTGAATTGAGACATAAATGATGGAGAAGCTGGACATTGAATTGAATATAGCCAATAAATATGCTTACTTATTTTGTGCATGATAAAATTCAACAAGATGTTGCAGCAGCTCAATACCTTTTTTCGTCTTAATGTCGTTATATTTGATTAAATACTGGGCAATAAAACGAGAGAAAAGAAACGTTGTCAATTAAATTAAATGAACTTCATTGTCTGTGAAGTCTTTTCGAAAAGTAAATGAAGGGAAGCCTCTTCAAATTATAAAGTACATTCTCTCTTTATATATGTTTCACATACCTCACACATTTGCAACTGAAAAAGTTTTCGCTCTTTTTCCATTTCATCGGCAATTTCCGCTGGATTCACTTCGCTTCGTATCATGCCCACTTCTTTAGCCTGTGATTTTTTCTCCTTTTCAATTTTCATATACTTGGATTCATAATCTTTGGCAGCTTTATCAAATGGGCGTTTCATTTCACCTTTGACACCACGCAATTCCGATTTCAATAGCGTATCAACCGGAAACATAATGATATTGCTAATATTTTGCATCTATTGGATTTGTTTAGATCAGAAGCGAGGGATTAAATTATATCATAAATATAGCCTCATTGCATTGAGGGAATGGGGGGGGGGTGCACTTACCAATGTTTTCATTAATGCGCTCAATTCTTTGGTGACAACGGAAAACTTAAGAAAAGCAGCTCCAATATCCGGCTCTTCTTTCGATAACGCTGCACTTCCAAGACGCTCTAACGACCGCACCAAGCACATCTCGTTGTCTACATGAGCTATAATAAAACGAAAACACACATACATAGATCATTACATTCGCTCCGAAAGATAAAACATCAATTGAATATATTAAAACTAAAGAGGATTGCACTTCATATTAAGCATGCGCGTATAATAAAATAAACTTACTATTTCCTGAATTGTATATGGCTTTAACTGCTTTCTTCAATTTCGTTAGCCCTTCTCTATCGAATTCCAGTGCCTGTAAATCGTAACAACATTAATTAATAGATGCATAAACGCATGAAGACATTTCAATTTTAACAATTTCCATTCATTTCCGTAAATATCATCTGTCATTTATAACCGGGTGAAATGTTATCTTGCATCTTCTCGAAACCAATTTTCATGCCAATTCTGATTTCGATTTCAAGAGCGCATCCAAATGAACAGAGTATATGCATAAATGGGACAGAGACGGCGCCAATACGAACGCACACTATTTCGAATGTTGCGAAATAAATTGAATTTGACGTGGTGTCTAAAGTGTTAATTGGAGTCAGTAACAGCGTGTGAGTGTAATTGATGGTAGATTCAATTAACAATTAATTTAATCAAATGAATACATTTTCAAGTGAGCATTTTATATTATTATTTATATGACCGTGTGAGAAGAAAGAAATAAAAAAAGTCGTACATTCATTTTTAATGCCAAGATCGTGGCGCAAATGTGCACGCATACACCAAATTACATCTGGTTTCGCTAATACCATATACAACATTTAACGAATCAAATAATTGTTATATTTTAGTTTTTGTATTTGTATTGCAATTAAAATGACACACACACATGCCAGTTTAACCGTAGCAGAGGACAAATTAACCATAATCAATTATTATGCAGCTAACGTTGGTTTCTTTTTTCATTTCAAAATGAATTCAATTAAGTTGCACATCACACATTCAATGAAAAAAAAAATATCCCACAGATATTGTTTTGTGAAATATAGACAATCAATCGATTGGTTACTTTGCCAAAATAAGTTATTGCTATGGAGCATAGATGTTTATTGAGATTTCCTTTGAATGTTAAACAATAATAAACTAAATGAATATGGAAACTCATTGAGAAATCATATTGGCAAAAAAATACAATACCATATTTTTGTTCAAGATCGAATATTATGTAAAAAAATATAGTTCATATCTCTCGTATCAAAATTCGATTTTTACACTTTTTTATTATTTCTGAACAAATTTATCAAAAAATTAGCTAGCATCGATCGATGTTTGATGTGCCCTTGAAATAAGTGCTATTGTACTTTCTCTATGTATATGCACTTCTACTTTCAGAGAGTATCAGTTACTACTCTGGCAATGATTGATTCAACATTCAATTTAAACAACAACAAAAAATATCGAGTATAGGCGATACAACGACCTTGAAAACATTCATCATTTTAAATATCGAATATGGAAAATGGAATTTCCGTCGATAAATTGTTCGTCATTCAAATCGAAAACGTCAACTCCAATCATTGTGTGCTCCGAAAATGATAAAACAATTTTGGAAAATCGTGATTTGCCACCATTTTCAATAATTATGAGAACGAGTTATCGAATTTAACGATTTGGAAGACAATAGAACTATGAATCAAACATGTTATTTAGTTACTTATGATATTTCACAATTGGCTATAAATATACGTAATTTTATCTGGCATTCATTGGTGCGGTTTCATTTCCATAGAATGATACTATTTCAATACGTTTCTATTAAATAAATGTTCGAATTCAACAAGTTTTACGTTAAGTGCGAACGCAATTTCACCATTTGTGTGAAAGAATTTGACGAATTCGGTGTCGAAAACTAGTGATACACGTTTCAATTGAAAGAGATTGCGAGCGAGAGAGAGAGAGAGAGAGAGAAGTCAATGCAATTTATGACATGAATCAGTTGACGCGTGTCACTCAGACACACACACATACACACGCTATTTGCTAAACTGTAAATACGATAAATACTTGATCATCCTGCCATATTTCACTGGAAAATGTTTTCAATTTCAAAACATTCTATCAGCACTCGATAAATCATTTATTTTCGCTCTACATTCTGAAAATACATATACCGATAGTTAATTGAATGTGTGTACTACCGTGTAAAACTATGGCATATAGTATGAATCATGCACAGTGTTTCAGGAAATTCCTGCCGTGAATAGTAGCGTGAAGTGTGTGTGTTATTAGCTATTCAATTTTGAAGCAACCAATTTTGACATATCGTTTAACGTAATTACTGTCAAGCTGAATACAACGAAGAAAAAAAAACACTGATAACAAAATTGATTGAATATGCCATCGACTTTGCGTTTATCGAATGCATAAATCAATAAAGGCGTCGGGTGTTCGTCACATATCGAATAAAAAACATAGAAATATGTTTGTGATACGTGTTTTTTTTATCTTTCTTCTTCGAATCGTTAACCGTTATATGGTTGGAAACCTTATGAATAAGACGAAGAGGAAGATAAAGTGGCAATAATGTAAAAATGGTCAATCATAAATTTGATTCTTTGTAAATGTACACAATCAAATAAATTTAGCAGAGCGTACAATGCGTTCCTTATGAGCACACGAATCGTTTCCGTGGAGATGAAAAATATCTGGCCATATTTGATGATTTGGTTTTTCTTATTATTACTATCGTTGTTGGTGGTGCTGCTGCTGCCGTTGTTGTTGTTGTTGTTGGGTATACATTTATAAGCAATAAAAAGTCGTCCTATCTCAACAGCAATGATATGCTGTGTGACACATGGAAACACAATGACGACAATAGTAATAACATAAAAAAGAGAAGTATTTGACATGAGAAGCAAGGAATTGAAATCACCTTTTACACTCGAAATCAAAAGGAGATTGAGATGAAAAAACGAAAAAGAGAAAGAGATAAATAAAAATAAATCCATTGCAATAGAAAAGTTACAATGAAGATCTACAGCTAGCGAAACATACCAATTGTACGGTACAGAGCAATGTGCCGCGTGTTTGTGCCGCCTGAAAAACACACGAAATAAGAACAAGAGATGAAGAAGAAGAATAAGCAGTAGCAGCCGCAGCAGCAGCAGCTGGCAGCTGTTCCAATCAACCATGTATGCACGCTATGTTACCTTTTATTATTCGGTCCCGTGTACACACTACTAACTCGATGTGTACGCGCGCGATTCATTGGCAGCGCGCACTTTGTAATGCTTGCAGACACACACACTAAAACCATTTCGTGTGTTTGTGCCCAGACAAAATATGTAAAATAATAACAAAAGAAAACCCAAACCGAAGAGTGGAGAGTCGGAGGTAAAAAAGTGAACTTATTCCATTGTGCATTTTCAATTTCAATGTGCAGAAAAGCGTAAGCATTTTGTACGCTCTTTAAAATCGTAACAAATTGTGTTTGTGCGCGTTTTTTTTTTATTTTTCTTAATTCTCTTTTGGCAGGCCTCAAATGAGCAGACCGTCTTATGCAGACTCATTTTTTGTTCTGCTGCTTTAACGATGTTGTTTATGCCTCTCGCTCTTGCTCTGTCGTTCTTTTGATTAAATGAGATTTAACAAGAACGCCAAATTCATGCGATTTATTTGATAATTATAGACATGGTGTGTGTGTGTTGAGTTACAAAGAGAGCGAAAGAGAACAAATTCTTTTGGCAACTACAATATAAATAAAATAAAAAACGAGGAACGTGCATAGTTCTAGGATTTGTGACGCTCATAAAACACATATATGAAAGTGAAACAAAAAATAACACACAAATCAAGCGCTCGTGGTGCATTCGCGCTCACGATAACACAGCACATGCATACAACGTGTAAATGTTGCTGTCATTTTGCTGATTCATAAATAATAAACGTTATTTTAAGATTCAAATGATCAATCTTGTTTCGTTTCATCGGAAATTTTCTATCGAAATTGATCAATTCAATTATATTGTGTACATTAAATGCATGGTATCGAATAATTGTGTGAGTATCTGTGTGAGTGTGTGAGAGACAGAGTGATTAAGTATGTATATTTGTAAGAAGTGCGTTTAAGGTCGATCATTGTGTGTACATGTTGCTAATTATAAGTTATCAATTCCAATTTTATGATTGTTGGGGTTTTATTTTTGTTGTTTTGTCTGAATCAAATGGCACCCAATTGATTATATCACTATCTGCTCTGATACGAATTTTTGCCGATAGCATGAAATGCATTGGAAACGATGGAGGGCGTTTCCCCTGAATATGTTTAATATTTAATTGAATCAAAATGGACCGATATGTTTATGCTGAAACAAGTCAACCGACATGAGAGACAATTTTGAAGTGGACATGGAAAAAATATTGGTTCGAATGTTAAGCATAATCAATACATTTTCTCAGTGCAGTTCAAAATTTTATATTTGCAATCGAAGAAAAGAGAGTCAACAACCGAAGGTGAATAAAATTCAACGGATCAATCGATTTCGATTGTAGATCTCTTTGTGATTGTGTATTTTCGCTTTCTTTTGCTACTTTAACATTAATTCGAATGTACTCATATAAAACAAATGTCTGTCTGTCTATCTATCTGTGTGTATGTTTTGAATTCATTAAAATTGCATTGAACTAAACGCAAAATATTGCAACACAATAATGATAATATATTGAATTGATTCACTGAAAACTCAATACATATGTATGAACGAAAAATGGATGTGTATTTGAATCTGAATTGATAGATTCGTAAAAAAGAACTTACGTCTTCTAATCCTGATATCGTTTGACGGCATTGAGGCATTTTTGATACGAATGTTGATGTGGTCGGTGAATTATAGTCGTCGATTGCCTCATCGACGAACTCACTAATTCCGATTAAGCCAGGCATTTTTCCTTTCGATTCGACGTGTATTTCTTTTGATTATGTGGTGTGTCGGCGACTGCACACTTTTTCGTGTGGATGTGTTGGCCTGTATGGCTTGCTTGTTTTTTTTTTTATTATTATTTTCACGTAATCGAAGAAAATTCGCTATTTTGCCGTTATATTTTTATAATACCCACAGCCAATTTTCACTTGAATTATTTTATAGTTATAAATTTTTGTTGTTGTTATTTGCACTTTTTGCACTGCTCTTCTCTTGTTACACGATGTTGATTTTGTGCTTGTGTGTGACTGACGATTTGATTAATATTAACTATGTTATTATTATTTTTTGTTGTTGTTGATGATGATATTATATTTTTTGTTTGTTTCTTCAATTTGTTGTTGCCTTTATTTACGCTTCTACTGCAAAATGATTTTTTTTTCCAAAACTAAATGGGATTTTAGTTTCGATTTGATTTTTTTTTTCTGCAGAAAGAAACTTTTATTTTTCGATTTGGATTCACTTTACAATTTGCACATTAATGTTTTCACTTTGTTGCTGCGTTGATACCACATCATTTTAACAGAGTACTCGTAATGCATACAAATAAAAATGAATCTGAAAGAAAAACAAACCAATTGCCATTGTTATTAATAAATTATATTGTTATTTTGTTATTAAAATAGATTGTCACAATTAAAATAGAACATAAATATTCATTCTTTTTGAAGAGAAGAAATGAAAAAATAGAATATGCAAAAACCAATTTGAATCTGTTACAATTAGAATTTAGCATGTGGACATGTTGGAAGGTTTTTTTTTCATGCGGGCTTATTATGGTCTGTTTTCATGGGGTCGACATGTACAACGTTTATTCGAGAAGTAAATGTTACAAGAATGCGCAATAGATTGCACGATTGAATGTTTGCATAAAATGATGATCGACCACGTAAGATTTGTGCAGTTCGTCTGACACAGAATTTTTTTTCGGAAGACAAAGCACACGAGAGAGAGGAAGGGAGAGCAATGACGATGCGAAAGTGGTGATGATGTACACATGACCATCACAAAGATATGTTTCATTTTTGAATTATATTCATAAGAAATATGCAAATTGTATGAGTAATTTTATGGTAAACATTACAATCACTATCAACGTAAATTAATCGGTATGTGTATGTACGTCGGTGTCAACCGATTTCATTTTTATCGGGATTTCATTTTTATCGAGGTTTTGTGGGTGAACTACAGTACTTCAACTGATCGAAATTTGGGATGCCATAACTAAAAGATAAGTGTAGAGGAACTCCACATGGTTGATTGTTTGAGTCCTCGTTTGCTCTTTGCTCGTATATTGATTTAAGTGGCGAGTGTCACTGTTCACTGTCACAATGTTGGTGATGAAAATGAATTGGATTTGCTTAAGTTCATTATAAATACATCCTGCATCACTGCTTCACACCTTCCGTCATGAATTAGAAAACAAATATATAACCATTTGTCAAAATGCTGGTTGCTCGAATCAATTGAGCAACTATCTCTGTATTCTACATACATACACAAACACTTTTTGGCACACAAAATTTAATTTCTATTTCGAAATAGGCATCGTATGAGAAAAAAAATCACAAATATAAATCACCCACTAAATTCGGATGTGAATGAATAAATATCGTTTTTGAGCCAAATTACAATCGGATATGAATTAAATATTAAACTATGTTAAATTAAATAACAAATACACACACGTATACACACCACTCAATGATGACGATTATTTTTCCAATCGAATTTCATTTATGTGTCGTTTTGATGTTGTTAAAGCAACCCGTGCATTAGTCAATCACTTTATATCGGCCCCAAAAGAAAAATATATCAGAAGAGTAGCCATCCGCAAAATTGTCGTTATATAAATTTATATTTCTAAATTATTTTTCATTGGACTCTTTTCGTCATCATACAATTCAGTTTATCGGTTCCTCTCAAAATTGTGCCAAAATCGTTGTTTCAAAATGCATTTTCGTTTGTACGCTTTCAATATTCTCACGTTGACAACTTCTTCGCTTGGCCCGAGTTTTCAAACAAATTTTGTTCCATTTCCTTGACATGTACACGCATAACACTTGAGATTCTCGTTTTCTATCTCTTTGATTTATTTAATTCGTTTCTTTTTTTTCTCTCTCACTTTTTCTCCTGCTATTTGATTTTGTTTCACTTGAGTGCGCAGCCAATTTGGATATTTTCTGCCTGCCTTCGAAACAATCCTTTTGATTCGGGTGTTTTCTTCTTGGTTATTGACTGTTTTTTTACTATCCTCTTCTTGCTTTTCTTGGCTGACTTAATGCTTGCAATGTTGTGTCTTACACAAAACTATCAACACTTTTCACATTTGATTCGAATACAAAAAAAAAGAGAAGTTTCAATCGTGTATTGAAAACGCCATCATCGCACACAAAACGATGTACACACACTGAACGTTCTCTACGTATATTACAAGCGAACGATGATTATTATTACAACTATATTTTCTTCACCATTTTTTTACCCATGTGCATGTGTTGGAGTGATTGCAAGAGGCGCGCTCTCATTTGATCTGTGTTTGTGTGTAAGAGTGTGTCATTCTTTTGGTCTTATACATGCGATGGTTCTCTGTCTATGGGTATTAGAGTATGTATTTTTTCTGTCTCTCCCTCTCTCGGTATGTCTACCATACTTATGTTGATGCACTTAAGTAACGGTCACTCTGAGTATTTCAGCGGTATTTGTACTTAAAATTAATCGTTTTATTTCATTCTTCTTATATTCTTCAACAATTTTTTTTTTACTATTTTTTTTTACTTTGAATCAGAAATAAAAAAAAAATGCTACAAATCGCTTTTCATCCAAGCAAAATAATTCAATTACCATATTTAACAGAAGTTGCGAACAAACGGTCAACCATTTTCAACTTCTTTTTTTTTTTAAATAAAATTGCACTGACGTTCATACTTAGCTGTTCAGCGTAATTATTCTTTATTTCTGATGTTCTTTATCGTTAAAATGACATTTTTGAAACGGTAAAATGCATCCCTATTGGAAAAAATGCCGATATATGCATCGCAATTACTTAGCATGTTAGAGTATTTGGTTTTCTGCTGAAAGTTTTCCATTTAGTTTGTTTGAATTGAGATTCATCAATTAAAATCGGCTAAACTAACATCAATAAAAAATGTCATCTAAAATGCATTCGATTGCTGGTATCAGAAAACGTTCTTCTTTGAACAGGTTCTTCAGCCGAACGAAATTAGCTTGTTATTTGATATTACGTTGAATAATAATTCGGGACAGCTGGTGCCGCTCTCGCTGTTAAGTGCAGTGGTTTGCATTAGCCAAACCTGGATTGTTGTCATCATCATTGTCGTCGTAGTCGTTGTGTTTTGTTGTAACGTTATGTGTGTGATCACATGTACATCGTGTTTGTTATGATGTTTTTTTTTGTTCGTTCGATTTTTGCGACGTTATGAATGTATTTTGGATACAGACGGTTTGGTGTATTGTTTGGATGAAATTGTACAAGATGAGAGCAGACTGTACTGGTGCTAAGAGAGTGAGAGCCACGCTAATACAATCATGCATACATACACACACACACACATATTATCCAATTCCAACAACAATAACAAAAACAATCTCGACAGAAGACGAACAAGAAAATCGCTTCAAGTGATTCGCTCACATTCGCCTATAACACACAGGACAACGATTCATATAATACCGCCTCGGTAGCTCTGTACGTTTTAGTCAGTACATTTTCATATGCAGCGGTGTAAATAGCTCCGATTTGTGTTTACAACCGACGACCAAAACATTAATATATTGCTATAATACAACTTGTACATAACACACGACACACGAGTAATAAAACAAGAATTCATCACAAAGACTCATCATCGTGTATGCAGACACGCATCGAATTCGAATCAATTTTACGGAAATTCAAAAACAATACATCACTGTTTGCAATCGTATTTATACCGAAACTATCAAAATAATCTAGTAAAAAAAAAAAAAAATTAAGAAAAAAACAAACAAAATTAAAACAAGAAATCGTTCAAGTAGTTTGTGAAAACTCTTAGTGCATTTCAATCAAATTTAATGCGGACCATCATAATAACACAGGCAAGCACATACACACATATATTTATACAACATTCAATAGTTGATTATGGATGGCACTCCAGCAATTTTCGATTTTCAATTCATGACAATTTGAGTGCAGCAAGCATCGAAACAAATCTACATTAAAAAAAAAATTATTGAAAAAGAAAGGAAGAGAAAATATGCCATGTGCAATGTAAAGAAGAAATGATAAATCAAAAAAAAATTGTACGGTGATGGTCAAGAGTCAGAGACGACGACAAAATAAGTAAAATTCGGTGTATGTGTGCTTTACAAACAGACAGCATTAATCTATCCTCAATTTAGCATACACACAACACAAACAACGGACACACAATAGAACGAGCGGTGTACAGGTTCTCTTAAGTCGTTTCAAATCAACTTAACGAGAGAGACGTGAAAAACAAAATAATATACAAAAACAAAAATAAAGTTCTGGATCCGAAATACAAAACAAACGACACAAATATCAAGCACAATATTTGACCGTACACAAAATAAAAATCGGGTTAATCGAATATATTGAAGGAAAGCTCATATTTTGTCAAATTATCATATACCAAAACTATACAATTTAAGGTAAGCGCTTAAAAGCACAACAAAAAACACATTTTCTTAGATTTCATTTTCGTTGTTCTTTTTCATTGGTTTGCATTCACTTTGTTCATGTTCGCTTGTCGATTCATTCATTCTTTTGCACATTTTGGACAGTAACATGGATATTGGGCCAAACCAAATGTACACCGTCCATTCACAGTTGTACTTCGTCTCTATTTTCGATTCTTGAAATTTCATTTTCAATGCTTTTCCGGATATTTGCATATCCAATTTTTTTCTCTCTCTTCTTTTCCGTCCATTTGACTGTTCTCAGTCCCGTTGTATATTTATTTTCGTTTTGTGTGTTTCTATTTGTTAAAAGCCCGAAACGAAAAAGAATTATCGATTTTAGTAAGTTGCATCCATACACAATCGAAGTTATGTAAAATTTAAAAAGAATGGAAAAAACTATTAAATAAATAAAGCAAACAATTTTTTCGTTGGTTCGTTTTTTTCTCATTCCGTGAGTGTATGTATTGAATTGTTTGTCGGAAAAGTTTGAATATGACTATTATTAAGAAATGAAAATAAAAATCTATAAAAAAATATTTAAACAAAAAAGAAATAGAAAGAATGCAAAAAAGCACACTCGCTTTTCTCTATCTCTGTGTGTGTCTCTCTCTCTTATTGCACACACATTAATTGATGGTTTTTGCTTTATATGGGCATACCAGTTAAATGGTTATAATTATGTGGAATGTATCAGCGAAAAAGTTCTTTGAAATGCGTGTCGCTATATAGACTTTTGAATATGCACACATTAAATGCTTGTTGTATTCGCTTTGATTTGCGCGTCGCCAAATAAATGCGTTCAATCAATTAAGCCAAGGGGCATTGCAAAATGGTACCGTTCGTTCGTTCAGAAAATTAAAATTCAATTTCATGCAACGTTTTAAACACAAAATGCCGTTTGTATGCAACTTTATGCTCGATATTGATGATGCAAAACTATTTAATGTTTAACAAATCAATTGCTTTCTATTTCAGCTACATTCAAATCGTCTATTGTATCAATTTATTCGTTTTAAAAATATTGCATGCCGTATTCTTTTACCAAAATTGATAAGTATTGCATACAGATAATCGCTTGCAAAAGAAAGCTTTTAACAGGATCCTCCAATTGATTTTGATGTTGCACAGTCATTTGAAAGTTCTTGAAGTAATATTGTGATTATTTTAAAACCGAAGACAAACAAAATGTGATACACAAATCCATATACCGTGAAATAATATAGAAAAAAAATATTATCTAATGGATCATGTTAGAAAGAGAGTGAGAGAGAGAGAGTGAGTGATGTGTTGTGTTCGATTCACTTCGAAAGTTATCGATATAAATATTAGCATATGTGTCAAATTCAATGTCGTTTATATCGCATGCCCGACGAAAATGCACACATGATTAAGCTTAAGAGCAATATTAAAAACATTGTTGTGAGCCTCGTTAAAAGCGTTCGATACAGGCTAAATTAGATAGATTCGTCGGTGACCAGAGATTGAAATGCAATGGTGGTAATTGTCTGTGCCAGTTCATTTACCCCAGAGAGTTGCTACATTAACATGCACAATGTAAAATAAAGTTCTGTACTCTATCGAAAAACGCTTTTTCTTTGATATTTATAATAATGATGTGTATAAATGTGCACCGAATAGCTATATATTTTGCTTGAAGACTGGTGTCCATTTTAATTGAAATTCTCATTTGCAATAACAATACACTTGCCATAAAGTGTATTTTTATTGTAAATAACAAGAATAACCATTATCTAACCAAGAGATAAAGAGAAAAAGGGTTTGCATAGACTGGTTATTGTGCAAAATCCAATGAAAACGCCTATGCATTTTCTGATAATGTCGTGCGATTTGTTTGTTGTAACGAGCCATTAGGAATGGTGATGAGGGGGTATATGGTGCTGCACATAATGGCATTTCCAATTCAATTTTCATCGTCAATTAGTGTAAATATAAAATGTTATAATTATGCTGATGTTGAAAGTGTTTGTGTGACCTGTTTTGAATTGATTTGATTTCGTTGAAATCATGGTAATTTGTATTGTATTTGCCAAGTCGCAATCATGACGGTCTGCATGAAGTAGTAGTATGAAGTATTCTGCACAATGTACATTGTAATATGCATTTATAGAGTTTCGCTACAATTTTGTTCAAAAACTGCACACAACAACAACAATAGAACCATCAATTGTGCTTACGCAATTACGCAATTTCGCGGGACGTTTTTTTAAAACTAAGCGAACAATCAAACCACAACTTACAAAATCGTTTGTTTACAATTTCATTCGCATTGAATATATCTTGAATCTGATATCATAGGTTCAGTGCCGGCTCTTTATGGAGATATATATATATATCGATAGCATTACAGATAATAATAACAACTCAAGAATCATGCATGCATATCGCACAACAGCCAAATGAATTGTATGGAATTCTGGATTCAATTGCGATTGAATTTTATTTTAACTTACTTTAAAATGCTATTTATAACTTGAAAGCGTGCAAATGTGTGTGCGTGTGTCAAGTGGATGCGCATATGCAAATACATAGTGACAATCAAGCGATTGATACTCTATATTTCGGCAAATTCAATTCAGTATCTTACGATTTTTTTTTGTTATGTGCGCAGTGATTGTATGCTGCTCTTATTCTTATATTTCTCACGTAACGTAAAATGACGCACTTTCTCATCTCATTCATAGCAAATGTATACTGAAGCTTATATAACAAACTATATACGTATATGTGTTGATTGACGAAAAAAAAAACAGTGTCGACAATGTTTCTAATGCGACATCGTTCTGTGTCCAACAACAAAACAAACAAACAGTAAACCCTGTTAACAAACGAACGAAAAAACAACCGAATCATTGACATCTCTTTTGTTGCACGATCGAATAGAGTTTTAGTTCATAAACAACAGCAGTGGCAACAACAACAACAATTGCGACAACTGAACACAAAAAAGTATAAAAGAAGAAGTCGCATTTTATGTCTGGCATGCAATTTACGGTATAAAATCTCTGTATATATGGAGTACATCAAGTATGCGTGCAAATATTCGAGTGTAAAAGAGTGGAGATTCGCGCGAGCACATGACCAAAATTACATGCATATCGTAAGAATGGCTTTAAATCGTATGGACGAAAAACAGTATTCTTTTAGTATTTTTCTTTCTCTATCGTCTTATTGTGCATTCTGTTTCTATATTGCCGTCGATTTGGCAAGGAAAATGGTGCAAGTACTTTGATGGTATAAGGGAAACGAGTGAGCGAAAAATAGAGAAAGAAAAAAATCCATTGAAATATATACAGATATATGTAAAATAGTCGAAATGTAATGCGTAGTTTTTATGGCGCACCCATTAAAGTACAGCGATTGAACGTTTCGTATTTTATACTCTACTCTCACAAAGCACTAATTCTTTCTTTTTCATTTTTATACTTGATTGTAGCCAAAATTGATAGTGTCAACGGCATTGATTGCTGTTACTTTTAGAATGAGTTACTTTGTTTTCTCTGTGTGGGGGCGGTTGTTTTTATGTATAATATAGAATTTGCGTGCATGAATTGTACACAATAATGCATCTATGCATCGAAATAAGCGTTTGAATTGTATACTCAAGCTCAATTTCATCAAAATATGACGAAGGCAATGACATGATGCACATACATAAAGAAATGATGTTGGCATCTTTGCTATTATCATTGAAACAATGACACCACAGTTTTGTTATTGTTGCCTTTATTTTAAAATGTAAGCATGATAAGAAATGAAATCTCTTGGCTGTGATCTACATGTTGTTATGATTTAAAGCAATGTTTACCGTACAAATTTGTGTCACATGTGCGAATATTTATCAAATACAAAGTGTTGAAGTGATATGCATCGGTTTCGTTTTTTCTTTCTTCATCTCATTCGATAAATGGCATGTGAACGAGGAGTGAAAAGAGAGAAAAATAATGAAAATTATTAAAATACACAATAAACCAAAACGAATCCTTGAGTCCAATTTCATATCAAATTTGCCGCATTTAATACAATTTATAAAGAACGATCAATACGCTGTATTTTGTTTGGATATTTTAATGCATGCACACATATCATTAACACTCTCTTTCTCTCGCTTATGCATGTAAAAATATTCGATTTGTGTCATGCACACAAAACGCAGAGAAAATGGCACACACACAGAGAGAAAGAACCTCATATCGTGATTATAAATTTGCTTTTTTTTTTGAAGTTGAAAATATAATGAATCATGTTCAAAAGTTCATTTTATTTCCATACCCCAAATAGCCAAATGACATCAGTTCCAATTGATAGTAATATATTCTGTGGTAAAGTTTTCACATTCTCTCTCGATACCCTTTTTGGTGGAATATAACTATGAAATAATCGTGCGAACATTACTCATTAGTAGAAATTGTGGGTAAATAAATACTCGATCGGATAGGGCTGATGACACTCTTTATTCAATGCCTGAATATTAAGTCATAAAACGGAAAGCAATGAAATTAATTTTACATGAACTCTCCTCAATAATAATTCACTTAAGTTAAACTATGTCTTTTTCTTTGTGGAAAGTTTTTGTTTTGTGCCATAGGTTATAAATATACAAAGATGAACACTTTACTCAATTGATCTTGTTTCTTTTTTCAAACATATTTATACGGTACACATACTATTATTCAATATGTTGTATTGTACGAAATAGTTTTGTTCAACGAAAAGTGATTAAGAATGCCAATAACTACAAAATAATAACGTGAAACCGATGCGAATGCATATTTGTTGAAAAAGTTGAATTCGAATATTTTGCGATTTTGTAAACAACCAATTATTGATAGCTGCTATGCGTCACACAAAAAGATTGCACCATACATTGATGTTACAGCAGAGATATATTTTTGTTTAAATTAAAATAATTATTGAATTCTTAATCTTCTTAATTTTATTGATTTGTTTAATTCGATTGAAATAATTTTTGTAGCGGCCACAAAGTACAGAGTAATGGAAGAATGGATAACGAACAACCACACCAAGAGTTGGTGAAATGCGTCCTAGTAGGTGATACAGCTGTAGGAAAGACTCGATTAATTTGTGCCAGAGCTTGCAATAAACATGTTTCATTATCTCAACTGTTATCAACACATGTACCGACCGTTTGGGCCATCGACCAATATCGCATTTACAAGGATGTCTGTGCACATTTTTTTCATTTTTTTTTTTTTTTTTTTTTTTTCAAATTTTAAACAATTTGATAATTTTCGTATCAATTGTATTACGTTTTTCTCTTATTCAATAAATAGGTACTTGAACGATCATGGGAAGTGGTTGATAATGTGAATGTTTCATTACGACTTTGGGATACGTTTGGCGATCATGACAAGGATCGACGATTTGCATACGGCCGATCGGATGTTGTGCTATTATGTTTTTCGATAGCAAATCCGACATCGTTGCGAAATTGTTTGGCTATGTGGTATCCGGAAATTAGACGATTTTGCCCAGAAACACCAGTCATATTAGTCGGATGCAAAAACGATCTCCGTTATATGTATCGTGATGAGGCCTATTTATCATATTTCGGTGATAAAAGTCCACTTGTTAGGTAAATGAATCAATAGCAGGGATTGTTCCTCTAAGGCACAGTATACTGAGGCGGCAAATGAGAAGGGGAAAGCGCTGGGAAGGAAAAGTTTTTTTTCAACACAAAAATATCGCTTTTACTTTTCCGCACACCCACTTTTTCTTTGATTTTTGAGTCTAGAAAATCACAGAGCAACGGTTTTTCGGCCAACAAACGCCAGGAAAAATAATATCGGTAAGTACCAAATGTTGAACATTACATTGACTTCTCACACACTGTTCTCAATCATTGTATGCCACTGACCATCGTTTTCCTTTTCCCTTTCAGAATTTACATTGATTCGATATTAACGACGACCGCGTTTGTACACAGACAAAATTTTCTTATATTTCATTGTGGTGGTGGTGTTGTTGTAGTGGTTGGCATTTAAATGTAGTAAAAGTGTTGTGCACCAAAAACAGTCACATGGATTGTTCTCACAATCAAACATGACTGAACATATGAACCGGTGAGAATATTCGTGAACTGTACAAATTTGTTAAAATGGACTTTTTCGTTGTAGTCTTCTTGTTTTCATTCTATTTCAAGTAATTAATTAATTTTAACTTTTTTTCATCGAAATTATATGAATGGCTGAGAAAAATCATAACTCAAATACAATGCACATAGAAGATAGATTTTTTACGTAGGCTGTTACTTATATATTGTACACAGATGAACATTTATTATTGAAAATGTTTTTATTGTTTTTCAAAATATTCTCCGTGATGATCGATACACTTTTGCATTCGATGAAACCATTTGTCATAGCATTCATGCCACTTCGAAACTGATATCTCCAAAACATGTGTTTTGAACGCATCAACTGCTTCTTCGGGCGTCAAAAAACGTTGACCACGTAGTTTTTTCTTCACGCTCGGTAACAAAAAGAAGCCATTGGGTGCCAAATCAGGACTGTACGGCGGATGACCCATCAGTTCGATGTTTTGACTGCTCAAAAATTGAGTTGTTTGATTAGATGTGTGAGAGCTCGCATTATCGTGATGAAGAATTATTCTGTGCCAGCGGTTGTTTTTTCCTAATTCACCAAACACAGTGACTTCCAAAAAAAAAAAAAAAAAAAAAAACGAAAATTTGTCTAATTTGCTAGAGAATTTTTTGTTTTTGGAAAATCACCCCCCCCCCTGAAAAATTTTCCTCGCACACTACTGCAATACAAATAGTGATCGTATGACAAAACGTTCTGAGGATGTTTATGCTACAAAATGTCAATCTTAACGAATATGACAATGGTTTGCATCTAGCAACGTCAGTGTTGCCAATTCTCAATATATAAGTAACAGCCCTCGTACTTTTGTGTGCAATGTATCGAGTTTCCGAGAGTTTCATATACTCACAGAAGACGTCAATTGTAATATTTGCGAACTCTGGTGGTGATTTACTAAATTACCACCATTACAATGTGTGGCATGGTGATTTTTGTATGTATTGTATTTGCTTTGCTGAGCAATATTACTATCGCTCAACGCAGTGTTGGTGGTCACAGCAAAGCAAATACAAAAATCACCATGCCGCACATTGTAATAGTGGTAATTTAGTAAATTACTACCAGAGTTCACAAATATTACAATTGACGCCTTCTGTGAGTAAGGTTGCCATATAGCAACCATATGACAATCGCGATTTCAGTGATAAGGAATGCTATATTTTTTTCATTTTGAGGTGATACAGAAAATTGAGTAGTATTTGTAAATCGAACAAAAAAAAATATTTTTTTTTTTTTCATTTGTCGTGATTTTTCATCGTCTACATGGGAGGCTTGTATGAAAAACACGGAAGACTGCTGTAATGGCACTGTCGCACGTCCGTACATATTTTGCATTTGCAACTGCTATATGGCAACCTTATATGAAACTCTCGGAGACTCGGTATAGAGCACAAAAAGTGAAAAAAGATCAAATTTTTTCTCAATTCTCGAACACCACTATATCATATGTTGTGATCAGAACGTTAAAATTTGTGTTCTCTGTAACCAAATCGTGCTAGGCAAATCGTTGTCTCCCTTTCCCTTGCATGTATAAATGTTCACAACTGAAATTCTATTCAAACAAAACTTGCACTTATATTTTGCTGCGCAATAAAAATCGTCGACCAAATACATTGTTAATCATTTTTATTGCACATCAAAATATAAATGCGAGTTGTGTGTGAATAGAATGTCAGTTGTAAATAATCATACATGCAGAGCGGGCGAGATAGCATTGGACAACGATTTGGGTGACAGAGATAGCAAATTTTTACGTTCTGATCTGTTAGTTGTGTATGAGAATTGAGGAAAAAAATCTGTTCTTTTTTTACTATTTGATTTGCACTATACCGAGTCTCCGAGGGTTTCATATACAGTCAAAATCACAAAAAACAGGAGTGCACCGTGACTATTCAAATTCCAGAACACTTTGGGCCAGGTCGGATCCATATGCTCCACAGGATTCACTTCCAGCTCATTTAGATGAAGTGATCTGAGGGACACCTTACATCAAGCAAGTTCTGCTGAGCAGCCACATTAATTTCCAAGCGTCTGCTTGATATCATCCAGATTATTCTGGGCCGCAGATGCCATACGCCTAGCATCGAGCAAATGCTAATGAGCAGCCATCAGCGCTCTTTCTGCAGCATCAACTGCTTCCAATGCTTGCTGAACGCTAGCTTCGGCTGCCCGAAGAGCGTCAACCATATTTTGGGCCGGTGCTGCTGCTTGCACATTTTTCTCTATTATTTTTTAACACAAAAAAGTATCAGAAGTTTAGAGGAGAGTTAGTTTTAAGATTCAACTAATTTTCGAGTGAGCCAAGCTTGTGAGAAATCATGTTTGAAAAATGCACTTACGATTTGCGACGCATGGGTGTTGTATATTTGGTGGTGCAGCGAACCAACGTCGCCGCACTCTGCGAGTATACACCGACAGAGTACACCTGGCGAGTTGCCCGAGATTGTTGGTGTAGCGCCGGTTACACTTCCAACGTGTAAAAATATTTTTATTTTCGCTTGAATCGGCGCTTTACTTTCCAATAACTTTCCGAACCATTTCTGTGCGCATCAAGTATTATTTCGACGCGATCGGTATATGCTATGCAAAGCCGTTATATAACAGCCTTCCGAACCATTTCTGTGCGCAGCAGGTATTATTTCGACGCGATCGGTATATCCTCAAGAATTAAAAAATGAAAATTTTAATGCAGCTTGTACATGTTGTCGGTTTGTGATACATGGGTGATCCATGTTGGGTGGTACCAATTTCTTCGCAATTTGCGAGTAAACACCGTCAAATTACATCTGTCGGGTGCTTCGAAACTGTTGGTGTAGCGTATTTGGTGGTGCAGCGAACCAACGTCGTCGCACACCGACAGAGTACACCTGGCGAGTTGCCCGAGATTGTTGGTGTAGCGCTGGTTACACTGCCAATGAAATAGAAAGCCGTTATATAACAGCCTTTCCGAACCATTTCTGCGCGCAGCAGGTATTATTTCGACGCGATCGGTATATCCTCAAGAATTAAAAAATGAAAATTTTAATGCAGCTTGTACATTTTGTCAAATTTTGTTGTAAACACCGTCAAATTACATCTGTCGGTTTCATTTCGGCTTCCATAGGTGCTGTACGCAAAAAATTTGTTAGCCGGATAAATTTTCTTAGAGAAAGGCAAATTCAAATCTGATTTTACAGGGTGATAGTCGGCCTCCACTCGCTCGGCTAGGCATGTTATTATATTTCCTATATCTGAAATTACTATCTCTATAGATCGTGCTAAAATGTTTTAACTCATATTAGACCACGATGGCTGTTAAACCAACTTCCCATATGAAACCTCAACGCTATGCGCGTCAAATCGACGTTATTCGACGCTATTCCATGTGTATATAGAATTGTACATTATGTTTTACAGTGCTGTGCAAGCATGCGGCCTTATACACAGTAACACACGAACTCCGTTTATGTGCGCGCGTTGCCTGTTATGTTTTGTGTATTGAATTGCGACTCAATCACAGTAGACGGCGCAGGCACTGTAAAACATAATGTACAATTTCATATATACACATAGAATAGCGTCGAATAACGTCGATTGGACGCGCATAGCGTTAAGGTTTCATATGGGTTCCAAAGTACCTCTCCTCCATAATTTTGGGCCGAGGAATCCGAATTTGATCATGAAATTTACAAATTTTGACATACCCCATACAAATATTAAAAAAATAAAAATCGACCGTGATGGAGTAGTCCAATTTGGTCCAAAACCTCAGAATTCTCAGCAATGGGAGAAAATGACAGCAAATTTTAAAATTGGCGCGCTGTTTAGTTTCGATTTGAGTTGTAAAATTACATTGACGTCCCCTTTGAAATTCGGTGCGCCACCGTCGGCTCAAAGAGACTTGAAGTCTTCACATCCTCAGGATTTGACCTGAATTCTAAAACTTCCATAAAGATATTTTATAAAAAATCCATTCTTCGTGTAATTGTATGTATTTTTAATTGTAATTACATTATGGAAGTTCTGGAATCCAGGTCAAATCCTGAGAATCCATGGATCAGCAGAATTCCACTAGATTTGGACTTTAGGTCATCGAACCACTCAGGTGTTGCTGCTCCCTATGGGAGTCAACATTTTGCTTATTTTTCACGATTTCCCATCGGAAAAGTGGTAAAAATCGATTTAAAGTTTTCCCAATTTATATTTATTATCGCAATAGTTTTATACATTGAGGAAATAAATTTCCAAAAATTACGAACGAACGAACGTGTTCGTTGTTCGTTGTTCGTACGAACATACGAACGAACAATCCAAAGAATTCATTTTCTGCTAATGAACGAACGAAAAAAAAGACCAAATAGATATTCTACGAACGAACGAACGAACGTTCGTGGACAGCTATGGATTGGAGGTTGCGAGGAATAGGCTGTTATTGTTTTTGAGCGATATTCGTTCATCGTTGTATCCATGGTGTGCCTATAAGGGGTATGGTGTGCAAAAACTTGGGTGTATGCATTAAAAAAGGGAATTTTTTGGTGAAAAGATACATTTATTTAAAAACAACTGTACAATATTTTTTAACCCCATTCTTAGAAAAAAAGTGACCCAACAAAACTTCGCGCGAATGCTGTTTTTTGCGCCAATTTTCAAAATTTTCCATGGATGTAAAAAAATATGCTGCGCACAAACAAATGAAACACTTTTGACTGATTTTGACAGTAATTGAATAGGCCTTTCAAATGACGTATCTGTCATTGATCTACTACAACGCACAAACAAGTGGTGACATCTACCGTGAAATTCCCATTTTTAATGCATACACCCAATAGCTAGATAACTCTTTCCCCAGAGATACAATCAATGTTTGATACATTTTTTTACAATCACGATTTTTTTTAAATTGAATTTAGGGGAGTACACCTACTTTTGATTGAAATTTCTTTAAATTTGGTGAGCCATGCATTTTGGTACGATTCACAAGTTTGATCGAATTTCTTTCCAAAATGTAAGCTTGTAGCAACTTAATCATAATGAAAACTTGTGGATCTTATTTTGTCATCAAAATACATCATTTCACCAAATTGGAAGAAATTTCAATCACAAATAGAGGTAGTCCAATAAAAAAAAGTCGGTTTTTGAGCCTAAGTTACCTTCAATTTGTATTCAAATTGCTTAAAACTTTAAGAATGTTATTTTTTTAAAGAAAATAGCCCGTATAAAGTTTTATTTCATTACGATATAAAACAGGCATTGCGACCATACAAAAATTCACATTTTTGGTGATATTATCTTCTCGTACAACACACACTCCACAACTTTTGAATTATTTATACGTCTCTTAATTGGCCTAAAAACTTTACTGCTGACAGAAAATTTCGGGAAATGTATATTCATTCGGTGAAGAAAGAAATTTGGAAACAGTGCGGAAAAGTTAGACTTACGGATTTAAAAAGTTCCTTTTTATTGACTAAAAACATTTTACTTTTCAATTGGAGGGGAGAGGAGGAGGAGGATCCTCTTCATTTGCTTCCTCACCATATTTCACCTCGCAAGAGGAACAATCATTGATCAGTAGTATATTGAATGAAGGTTATTCAAATGAAGATTAATATAAATTATACCTCTTACCGAAAAACAGAGCCGCACAAAAAAATGATCTAGTGATGCCTGATGAAGCTCGAGCTGTGGCAAAGGAATTGGGAATTGCATATTATGAAACTAGTGTATTCACATATTTCGGTGTGAATGAATTGTTTGAAAATGCAATCCGAGCCGCATTGATTCAGCGACGTCATCAACGATTTTGGATGACAAATTTAAAACGAGTCAAAAGACCATTGCTTCAGGTACAAACATTACACTTAATCTATAAATAACTAAAAACAAACGAAAAATCACTTTAAAAAAACCGAAATTACCTTAGGCCCCATTTCGACCACCAAAACCGTTACAACCCGACCTCACCGTATTGCCTGAAACACATCAAAAGGATATGCTCAATATGTTGAAAAATCAATTTTATTCGGATTTAGTCATTGTAGTTGGGTCAATTCGATTTTTCGTGCATCGTTTTGCCATTGCAGCCGGATCGCAAGCATTCTATCGCTTGTTAAACATCGATTTCACGGATATGGGTGCAAGAAGTAGCAGCGAATCGAGTGTGGTTAGCTCAACGTATGGTGACAATTCAAACGCCGATTTCAATGAAGAAACTGAATACCTGATTCGTTGTGATCCAAGCAAAATGCCACAGCCAAGGTAAGCAACAACAAAAAAATATACTCGCGCAGTACACGCACATTTTTGCTTTTCAAATGATATGTGTATATATGTTCTCTTTTTTTATTTGTTTTTTGAACTTTCTGAATGTTAAAGAATGTGGGAACAGCTCAAAAGGCGATCGAGCTACCAAGCACTTCCAACAATCGAATCGAAAAAGCCAATCGATATTTTTAGGGACTTACATCATCCAATTTTTCAAAATATTAGGATAATACATGTACTTATCCAAATTGATCATCAAACTGATAACATATATCACTTCGATTTTTATGCCATTTATATTTTCAGAACGAATCGAGTCGTCACAATTCAAATTTGATTCAAGCTCAAACAATCGTCACACTAAGTAAATTAGTAACGCCACAGGCAGTGCATCAATGCTTGAAATTCATTTATTCCGGATCATTTGACATAGACTATCCAAATTTAAAGGTGTGTATATTCACTTGAATTATAGTTTAAGACAATTTGAAATTCGCACATCAAATCATTAGTAAATGATTTTGTAAACAAAACGAAAAAAAAAAATACAAACATAATTTAGTAATCAAAGAAGTAAAAATTGTAGATAATAAGCAGTCAAAATTCAGCTCTCATCGCATGAATGCACAGAATATTGTCGCAAAACTGTAAATTCAATTATTTTCTGTCACTTTTTCCATTTTCTCTAACTGACTTTTTTTTAATGCATATCATAAAAGCTTGTTGTTCAACTCAAATACATGAAGTTATTTATAGATAAATGTAGCGCATTTATTTGTGAATAACAAAAAAAAAAAAAACAAATAACTCTGTTCACTACCACCACTACAACCACTGAACAATAACAATAGAATAAGAAGGCATAAACACTCTCATTTTGTTGTTAAAAAAACATGCTGCTTTTGTTGCAAACTTACATCTCAAACAAAATATGTCAATGAATAAAATACACACACCATTGAATATATATATACAAACGAAACAAAAATTAAAACAATATCGTTGTACAGAGAGCACACATAACACACACAAATACACCACCTCAACCACATTGAATAACTTAAAAACTCGTTCATGTTTTCAAATTTTAATTTTTGTTTATATTTATAACCAAGCAAAAAAAATTTTCCATAATTTTTCGCAGACTACTTCAATAGGACTTTTACTGGTAAATAGTGGCTTATTTATTTCACTCTTCTTGTTAGAAATCCGTTGGTAAAGTGTTTTATTGATAGAAAAACCAATAAAATAAGAACATAAGTACCATCGAAATCCAACCATTTGTTTTTTACAACAATGCTCAGATTAATAATCTCCACCTAGATAAATGAATGAAAACATTTGCTTCTTTATTGTTGATGTTGTATCGAAATTGGCTAAAGTTGGTGCGCTTGAAAATTAATTTCCATTATCTTATGCACTTTGTTTATAGGAAATTCAACAAGCTGCTGAAGTTTTAGAAATACCATTTTTGAGCAAAGCAATAGCTACTTTTATACAGCAACCGTCAGCACAAAATGAAAACGTTCACAGTTACTTATTGGTAAGAAAATTTTATTTTTACGCACGATAATGAAAAATGACCATCGCTGGTGCATTAAATGAATAATTCAAAATTTCACAGCTTGTAAAGAAAAATTTGGAGAAATTCATTGGATCGAGTGCATTTACGGATGTCACATTTGAACTGGATGATGGAAAAATGAAGTCACATCGAGCGATGCTAATATCGAGGTATGAAAATCAAGTACTTTAAAAAAAATCTCACACAAAATTCTATTCACTATTTTATTGCATTCGAAAGATGTGATATGATGCGAGCTATGCTGAATGGTGATTTTAGAGAAGCACATGCACACACTGTATGTATCATCGTATATTTTCATTGGATGTTTGTAAATTTGTTTTGAAATTAAAAAAAAAATTCTTCGGTAGATAATTTTTCCGGGAGTCACAAAATATTCATTTCATAAGCTTCTATGCTACTTGTACACCGACGAAATACCTCAAATATCGACCGATAAATGTTTAAATCTATTAGAAGTGGCCAATCGTCTATGTTTACCACGTTTAATCAATTTAATTGAATGCCGTGTCATCGAAGGCATTTCATCACAAAACGATACAATCGAAGCAGTAAAAACTTGCCTGAATCTACTCGAGCCGGTGAAGGTGAATGTCTATTTATTTAGTTTTTGCAAATTCAAAAATATATGTAAAAATGCATACGCATTTAATTATTTTCAGTTGCATAATGCGCATCAATTGGCCGAATGGTGTATGTCATATTTGTGTGTCAATTACAATGTTATTTGTAAAACATTGCCGAAAAATTTAAAAGCATTACATCCAGAGAATCAAGAGTATTTGCATGAAAATCGATGGCCGCCCGTTTGGTATCTCAAGGACTTTGATTACTATCAACGTTGTATGAACGAAATGAATCGCGAATGTAAGCCGGGAAATCGCGGAAAGATCAAAGATGAAAGTGAAGGTTGCATGTGCTTTTCGGGCGGTAAGTGCATGATGGTTGGTGAACAATGTTCACTGAACAATTGAACATCTATTCAATTTCAACCGTTTCTCAACAAGCTTGTTTTCATTAAAATTCTAAAAACCAGACAATATATTTAACTAACTGGTCAGTTGAGCTGACAGTACGTTAGCCAGCTAAATGGACTAAAACAATAGAAGTTATTGTTATAATGAACAATCACTTCTATTAAAACAAGAAAAGTGATCCATCATTAAAACAATAACGTCTATTGTTTTAGCCCATTTAGCTGGCTAACGTACTGTCAGCTCAACTGACCAGTTAATTCAATATATTGTCTGCTAAAAACACATCCTAAATCACTTTATCACATCACAAACATAAAAACACATACATACATACATACAACACAAGACACAAAAAATTAACGACACAAACGGGTTTATACAAAAAAAAAAAAAACACCAAACCCATCTAAATTGAAATTTTTGTTGATGTCTCTATGAAATAGCCCCTCATTCCATTCTTTTTGTTTCGCTTAAAATTTTTAATGTGAAATTTGGAAAAAAGTTTTCTCTTGGCTGACAGGTAACAAAAAGCGCCGACAAGAATCCGATCCAACAAGATCGAATAATACACGCTTGGTATTTACACCGGACAACATGAACTTGATCAACAGCAATAACAACGGCAATCATAATTCAATTAACGTGATCGATGCAGATCCCGAAGCCGATTTGAATCTTTGACATTTGGCCAATTACGGATCAGGGTAAATAAACGCTTTTTGAACAACAAATTTCTTTTCAAATAAATATTTAATTGATTGATTGATCTATTCTATGTTTTTCTTTCTTTCTTGATTTTAGTTCCATCGAATTTACTGTCATACTACCCGTTCTCATTTGTTTTATATGCACAATTCTTAGCATCCTGATTCTTCTGCAAATGTTCGTTTGAATAGAACTAGTAAAACATAATGTCTACAGATAATGAAAAAAAAAAAATTCAAGTAACACAATGCGAATTAGAGTGTCGCAATCAATCGACATATATTTTCACACATACTATAATTTCAATCGTGCACGAACTATACGGCGAAATCAAATAACAATTATATTGTCTAATGAGCTAGAGCTTGTGAGGCATACAATTCCATTCAAGACTGTCATTTTACGTAAAACATAGTTTTAAACTGTATCAAACAACATTTAGCAATGTTTGTATGAATGAAAGACATAAACTTTTTTGTATGTATCATCTTTTAATCTATGTATATTTGCAAACATATATGCGAACAAATCGTCTGCAATTTAATTAAATTCGAACGCATTTAACTAATAAATTCCATTTCCAACGTAATTTATCATAATAAAAAAAGGAAAAAAATACATTCTTTTTCTCAAGAAAACAATTTTAAATTTTTTTCGTATATAACATATGTCCGACCAGACTTAGATTATATGATAACATTAATACTAACAATTAGAATTCGGTTTTTCTACTACACTTTGAGTGACAAAAATAAAAAACAATCGCGAATTATATACTTGAATTGCATTTAGAATATTTTCATACAAATCGTTTGAATTTTTTTCGTCAATTATTCCAACGACAACATTTGTTTTTTTTTTTTAAAGCATTATCACGAGAATACACGTTTTGCTTTCTTTTCTCAATTTCTTTACTGGTGAAAATAAAAATAAAAATTTGAAATTAAGAAACAAAAAACGTTTTTCAATTTAAAAATATGTATCATATTATAAATAATAAATTTTATTTTATTTTTGGTGAAATATTTTGCTATTCTATTTTTTCAGATTTTTTTTTTTCAATTTAATGATATCAATGTTTACATTTAAATCAATCCTTTCTTATTCAGCATCCAGCAATTAATACAGTCAATTAAATTTTCTTTGAAGTTGTAATAAAAAAATGCATCTCTATTCGTTTATTCGTTGAGTATTTTTAACCTTTTTTTCGAATTTCTATACTCAAAAATAATTTAAAAATTGCAAAAAAATGTACTTGTTGTATGTGCGACCCTTGTTGATTGGCGCTGAATACTGTAAAGTGACTGTTTTCCGATAGGGATAACGATACGGCTGTTGTGATGATGACAGCGCGCCAAAACCTATGAGTTTTTTTATCATCAAGCGGGAACGTCATTCGTCTATAATATAGTGATAAATATAAATTACAATTGTCCGAATCCAAAAGCCAAACGAAACCAAGTATTTTATTTTCCACATGTTTTTTTATAATTGACGGTGCATTTTGCGCCAAATGCTACGTTTACGTGAAGTACTTTGACTTATGTATGGAATGTGTATGAGATAAACGACGGCAAATCGGTGATTAGTTACAAAACCAAGTGAAAAAGAGAGGTCAAACATAATTGGCGCCATTTTTCGTGTTCACAATTTTTATTTTTTTTTATTCGTGTATATACTATACACACACAGAGAGACACAAAGAGAGTGTGAGAAAGGTGTAGCGAAGTTCATTGCTTTTGTTGTCGGTTTTGCACGAGCGAGCAAAACGAACGAAGCTCTTTTCACTAGCAATCTATTTCAAACAGCCAAACACATCAAACAAACATAGAGAAAATAGATTTAAATTAGTGTGCAGTTTAGTTTAAAATAAACAACAAATAAAAATGTTGACCAATGATTCGAATGATGAGATCGATGATAGAGTTAAACGCAAATATGTACACATTTGCGAGGAATTGGACATCGATGAATTGATAATAGACCAAACATGGGATAATTACCGATCCATTCGTAACGATCATACGCTAGAGGTGAGTTGAATAAAAACCCCGAAATGAGTCCAGTGCCTGTTTCTTATATATATATTTTATTGTTTGCATCTACTGCAATTGATTAACCATTGAAATGTTTGTATTTATGATTAAAAAATGTGTAATTGTTTTTCTGATTTTATTTGTTTGTTTCATCTTTATACACATAAAGGGTGGAGAGATTCAATGGCTTTGTTGTGCACTTTATGTTCACCTAACTCATAAATCCAATGAATTATCGGACATTTCTTTAACAAAACTACTTCGTTTGTGCAATATAAAAATTTATGAGTTTTTAAAGAAAACTGAACAATGGATCAGTATGGTGAGCACATCGAGTGAATGCCGTGAACGATTCATGCGTCTACGTACCAGTTTATCTGTATCGATATTGGCATACGAAAAATACTCATCGATTTTCTGTGAATATTTTACGAGCCCAAATAATTCAGAGGAAGCAGCGCTAGCGGCCACATCAATATCAACGCCACAAAAGGGAAAAAAATCAAAACAGGCCAATAAATGTACACCAAACAATGTATATGAATTTTGCTGGTATTTATTCATATTGGCACAAGGTGAAAATTCCGAATATAACATGGATATTGTGACATCGTTTCACATGCTATTGTGTTGCATTGATTTGATATTTGCAAATATTGTGGCCGACAAACGTGATGATTTATTGAATATGAAATTCGGTCCAGCTGCTGCTGCACTTACAAAGGACAAAAAACCCATTGACAACGAACCGGTTTCAATAATAAAAGAGTTGTGCACACAGCAGTCCACATCCGAAATTGATGCACTTGAAATTAAATCACACAATTGGAAAGAATTGATACAGAGATTTTTCAAAGATAATGTTCTAAAAGGTAATGCAAACACCTTTTTGGGCATTTTATCGGCACAAAACTACGAAAACAATATAAAATCATTGAAGAAACAGTATGAAGCGTACGTTCGACGCGTTGGAAAAATTGATGAGGGAATATTTTTGCTACAGGCTCCATCCGATAATGTATCCGATCCAAAAACACATTCACAAATCATCAAAACATTGGTACCTGATACTCCGCTCAGTGCCCGGCACAATTTGCCAAATCGTGATTCAGTTTTAGCATCACCGGTATCGAATGCAACACAAAATGTCAATCGTTTGCATCAACATTTGAATAGCTCATCAGCCGAACCGAGTAAAAGTTTAAAAGATCTCTTCAGCACTTGTGGCGTGAATCCATTACCAGAAGTCGAATCCATACTAAAAACCATGCGCGAAAAATTCCTCAACGAATTTAAAACCAATTCGGCCAACGATCGTTTTGACTTAGCCGTTAAGCTTTATTATAATTTACTTGAGAAGATCATTCGCAAAGAGCGAAGCCAAAAACAGAACTTTAATCCAAACGTAAGTTAAATTGAATTATTCAAGCATTACTTTATTTTATTTTTGAATTTTTAACATATTAAAATCTATTAAAATCGATTGATGAACGAATTTCTCTCTTCATTTCGCCGCAAAGATTTTGAAAAATTCAAAATTCCATATGATGCTAATGGCTACATCGGTTGAAATAGTCATCTATGCTTACGGCGCTTCTCACAAATTCCCATGGATTTTGGACTGCTTCAAAATAAACGCCTTTTACTTTTACAAACTGATCGAAATCATCATATCGAATGAAGAAGGCATCTTAAGCCGTGATCTCATAAAACATTTGAATGCTGTAAGTATTACTGTTGCGTTATCAATCAAAAAAAAAAAAAAAAAAAACGTTGCGGTTATTGGTCGTTTGTAAAAATTTATCTATTTTTTCTTTGGTACAAATGACTGATGCACTGACAATTTCATTTCAATTTAAAAAATAAAAATGATGATGAGCGAAACTGATGGTTTTAATTTTTTTTTTCTTAACATTTCGTCACAAATGTATTTTATTTCATCATCTAAAATTAGATCGAGGAACAATGCCTTGAATCGCTCGCTTGGGAAAAGGAGTCACCATTATGGGCAGAAATTAATGACTGGCTTTCTCGACATCATTCATTACCAAAGCAAGAAGACACAATTAGCAGTTCGATTGGGCTATTCTTTCGAAAATTCTATAAATTGGCATTTGTTCGCATAGAAACGCTTGCCACCGATTTAAATTTAAAGACGAATCAGTATCTGCAAAAGATATGGACTACGTTTGAGTATTCCATTTTACATCGCATTGATCTCATGAAGGATCGTCATTTGGATCAATTGATCATGTGCTCTATTTATATATTTGCTCGTGCCCGAAATCTACCAACCAAATTCAAAGACATCATGACTGCATATCGTACACAACCGCAGGCGGAAAGTAATATTTATCGTGAAGTATTGGGAACGGACAACAATCGTTGTGACATCATCGATTTTTATAATCGCATTTATGTGCATGATATGAAAGAGTTTGTTTTACGTCTAAGAGCATCAGATGATGTGACATTGTCACCGTTACCGGTCAACGTCCGTGCCCAGCAATATCCGCGCAAAATCTCACAGAGCCACAGTATCTATGTACAGGAGCTGCAGAGCAATGAAATATTACAGTCACCCGATCCAATCACATACACATTCATCTCGAGCCCAATTCAGGTAAAGAACATTTCCATCAAAAATTTAATTTCATATTTTTAAGACATTTTTTATAAATGATTTTTTTTTTCTCTTGTTATTTTATTCTCGATGTTAAAACAGAGTTTCAGGAAGATTGAGGCATTAGGAGGTGAAGAGCACAATTCGAATGGAAAACGAACTTTACCGTTCAACGGTGGTGAACAACCGGAAAAACCACCAATTGTCCCATATACAAATAAAAAATTACGCAACGTTATGACCGATCGTCAAGAAATATCCGACAAATAACAATAACACAATCAAAACGAAAGAAAATTAAATTAAAAAGCACATCTATATTCCTCTGAAACCGTAATAATTATGTAACAGTAACCATAATTGAAGTATCTGTTAAGAAATACACTCCTTTTAGTAGAGAGATGCACTACACACAATTTTTTAGAGTAAATTTACCGTTTTAATTTTCTCCTTTTTTAAAAACTGTATATCGATTTCAAAATCTACATTTCTGTATTTAAAATCAAATACAAATTGCATGTTCACATTTTTATGTAACGAGACAAAAAACGCATGACGTTAGGAGATTTTGTTTTAGATATATTCATTTTATATTAATTTCAACATATTTAATTTACTTTTAAATTTAAAGAGAGAGAGAGAGAGTAAGAGAGATAGAGAAAAAAGAAAGATAGAGAGAGATAGAGAAAAAAAAACACTGGAGGCAGCATTTTCATGTTTACTTTTAGCGGAAAATCTTTCAATAATTTATTTTATTATACACATATAAATATTTTTCATTTTTCGGAGACATTTCGGTAGAACATTCGAGCAGTGTTTTATCGAAATTTCATTGCTGATATTTAATCTATTGACGCATAGTTTGGAAAATAAAATAAAACTTATACGAATGACGGTGATTTTATTATATATAAAAATATGACTCGTTTTATTAATATTATTTTTTACGCGCCGGTTTTTATGGATTATTTTGCTTAAAAAACTTTTGAATTTCATCCCTGGGTAAGCATTTTTGAAAATGATTTTTCCCTTAAATTTCTTAGAACTGTTGATTCATTTATTATATATATATTTATATATGTGCTAAATAAAAAGTCGGCTGATTAAAATTTGCATCTAAATCAACTATTAATTCTGAATTGACTTTTAATTACCGATTTCGTAGAAGCACCTTACCTCTTGTCACAAGAATAGAAAAAAAACTATAATACACTATAAAACCTCATCAAAGAAATAAAATAATAGAAAGTCGATTTTAAAATGAAAATTAATCGGAACACATTTTGTTCTGCGTAAGAAGCATATGTTATTTTTGAAAACGATAATTCGTTTAATTGAAGAAAAAAAATACATGTCAATGAAGTCAAAAACGTCTTGATTTGATTTAACAAAAAAATATCCATATATTTTATTCAATTCATAAAAGTGTATTTAAATTTTATTATATAAATCGTATATTAATAATGGCATTAATAATAATTTTAATTTTTCTTTTTATTATTTTTATTTTTTTGTTGTTTCACATTCTTCTGTGTTTTCTCATTACTTTGTGGCTTCTTCTTCTTCTTTGTAATTTTCTGTGGTTTTTCATACACCTTGGCCACGTATTTCTTTTCTTCTTCTTCCTTTTTACGTTTCTTCTCTTCTGGCGTTAATGTTGGTTTGCCAGCTAATTTTCGCTTTTTACCTTTTGTTTGATCGGTTGTGTCACCGTTAGTGGATTCCGTTTCAACATTCGATGTGGAATTTTCGTCAACGATTTCTGTATCGTTTTCATTGTCGCCATCTTTTGAAATTGGAATAACATCGGAGAATTTCTTGAGTTTTGCAACAAAGAATCCATCCATATTGTGCGTGTGTGGATAGTAGCGACGTGTAAGTTTCATTGTTGGATGGAATCGATGTTGGCGATAGTTTACAAAACCTTCCGTTCCAAAATCAAGACCAGTTGAAACAAGTTTAACGTTTCGTTTCTTCAGTACATAATCAATGACCCATTCATTTTCTTCGGGTAAAATGGAACATGTTGAATAGACAATATAACCACCAGTTGGACTCTTAGCACTCACACAATCGATAGCGGTTAGCAATAATTTTCGTTGTATATTGTAACAACGTTGTACATCAATTTCGGATTTTGATGTTTTTGCACTTGGATCTTTTGAAATGACACCGGTTCCAGTGCATGGGGCATCGACTAAAATTCGATCAAATCCAGTCATTATGCTCTTGTATTTACAACCATCTTCACAACTAACGACCGCATTCATTACGCCCAATCGATGGAAATTACCAACAACCGCTTTAATACGATCACGATTTGCATCGTTTGAAAATAGTACGCCGGTATTTTTCATGAGTGCTGAAATGTGTGAACTCTTACCACCGGGTGCTGCACACAAATCCAATACACGCTCATTCTCTTGCGGTGCTAATGACATTACGGGTAACATACTACTTGCGCCTGAAATATTTTCAATTTAAATGCAAATTCTATTAAATAATCGTTCATGTCATGCTATGAATTATATCGTACAAACCTTGGATCATATAATGTCCAGCTAGATATTCAGGTGTGGCGCCCAATGGAACATTCGAATTGTAAACAACTAAACCAACTTTGGTCCATTTACCAAGTGGATCCAAGTTGACGCCACGATTGATTAGAGCTGCAGCCAAATCACGACGACGTGTTTTCAAGCTATTTGTACGAATTGTTAGCGGCCGTGGTACCTCCGATGCTTCTAAATATTCAAATAGTTCATTTACTGGAAAGATTTGCATCAATTTTTCCATTAGAAAATCATTGTAACTGTAATACATGCACAAATCTTTACGTAACAATTCCAAATAGTCTTGACGTGATTTGTTTGGCAAACGTCGCCGATTAAAATCGGCCAATACAACCGATATATCCTTAATTCGTTGTTGTACAATTTGCAATGTGACTGGTGTATCGTCATTTTCATCGGGAAATTCGAATACTTCTTGATTTGCCAAACTTTCTTGCAATTCTTCTTCGGCCATTTTGGCTTCTTTCGCCTGCTTGATTCGAAGTTGTCGATTTTTCTTTTCAATTGGCAGCAAATCCTCCTCATCATCATCATTATCATCATCCTCTGCTTCGTCTTCATCGCTATCAAACATATCATCGTCATCCTCCTCGTCATCATCATCATCGGTGTAGTTTGCCAAACTTTCAACCTATTCAATCGTGAAGCATTAAATAATCAATAAAAGTAAGTTGGCTAAAATGTTTATACCTTTAAATTGTCATCATTTTCCGATTCTTCTTCCAATTCTTCTTCTATCTCTTCACTGTCTTCTTCAATTTCCTCTTCAGCTGATTGGTTTGACTTTTTTGGTTTTAGCCATTCATTATTGTCATCGGTAAAACCACGAGTTCCACTTTCACTTTCGTCACTTTCCTCGCCACTTTCCACTTGATTTTCCTCAGCATCACTTTCTTCTTCATCTGTGTCACTGGCGTATACCTTTTTCGGTTGATTTTGTTTATTTTTATTACGGCCATAACCGCTCATTTTAATTTTCTTCTCTTCTTGCTTCTTTACACGTTTCACCAAACGCTGTTTTTGCCGATGTGACAATATTTGTTCATCTTTATTCTCTTTTTCAGCTAAAATATACAACAATTCAGATGAATTTATTTACAGTATAACAATGCTTAAAAAATATCAAAACGATTGAATAAAATCAATGAAATTCTGAATAAATTGTTATTTACCTTTGAATTGTCTACTAAGCACTGGTGGGCCTTGCTTCTTAGCCTTTCTACCAGGACCTTTTTTTGGTTTTTCGGCAAATAAACCTTTGCGACCCATTTTGAAGAGTGAAAGGATGAAAAGTTACGACGAAAATTAAACGATAAATTCGAATGAATAACAATAATTTCGCTTGGAATCGAAATAAACTGTTTAATTTACACAGTGCACACACAGAATGAGATATTTGCGTACCGACAAAAATGTGCTATGCGACTTTTTTGATTACACGTGCTTGTGTTTGCTGATGCACAGACTGTCATATGTTGAAAGAAACAACACTAAACTCGCTGAATTGAATTCAGCAGAATGTCAAGCTGAGCACATTTAAATGTTAACTGTCAAAGCACATGCTAGTGTATTATTCAGAGCATAAAATTGTATCATTAAGCCATTAAATTAAAACTTAAAAAATAACTGCTCTTATATTTCTTAAAAACAAAATCCGGCAATTATAAAACGTTCAATCGTTACCATTAAGTGCTCTCCTGCGACATTAAATTGTTCTTGGTTTTTTGTTTCCTGTGTGTGACCGACGAGCGAACGAGAAAGACTTCAATTGTTCCTGTGTGTACATATTTCTTTTGCACATTTATTTTCTTAAAACGAGTAAGTATTATTTCTTATATTTTTGCGTACTCGATTCTGATATTTAAATCCCCCTGCATATTACTGCCCCAGACATATGCATATCGTTGGAAAGTTCTTAAAGCCAGCTATCGAATGGTGCCATTTTTGGTTCAAAAATTTCAATTCGGAGTGATTTACACACATAAATTTTCTCGGCAAAAAGTCCAACGATTTCTTTTGAAAATTTCACCGATTTTTTTACTTTTTTCATACAGTCGCTGTGTCACTTAGACTTGACATACACAGGACATATGCATATTCGTTGGAGACGAGACCTTGAAGTAATCTATCGAATGGTGTCATTTGCGTTTCAAAAATTTCAATATAATAACATACATAACGGATATTTTCTCGAAAAAGACTCCATAGTTTCTTTTAAGAATTTCATATATTTATGCCTCAAGTCAAAGATAAAAAATGTGTATACCACACACCACTGAAAATTGTCTGTCCCCATTCTGAGCCATAATTTATGGCATTTGAAGCCAAAAAACCTAAAAGTCCATACATTCATCTAGTTTTGAATCTTTAACCCTCTAGTACATAGCTGCCTTTGGGCGGAGTGTATGAATTATTGTCAAAAATATATTTTTTATTCTAAAGTTTTTTACACTTGAGCTAAGACACATCTAGAAAGGATCAGCCTTTCATTTTATATCCATTTGACAATTGGTTTTTGGGTAGATATTTATTTGCAGGCTCGAAAGTGCGAAAAATCGCATACCATGAAAAAAAAATTATCACGGGGGACGGCAGTCCCCAAGTGACGCAATGCCAAAATACATATACACATATTTATATGTGATATGTATTTTTGCGTCACTCTATATATACTGTAAAGAAATGAAAATCGAGATGGAGGGTCGCAGGAACGGGCTACCACATATGAATCGTTGCGGCGAAAGAGTAGCTCTTATTTTTCTCCAAATAAGACTGCAACATAAAGTTTTTTATGAATAGTTTATTTGTTGTATTACAACAAATAAACCGTGTGAAAAAAACTTCATGTTGCAGTATTATTTGGAGAAAAATAAGAGCTACTGTTTCGCCGCAACGATTCATATTTGGATAACGTCTGGGGCCCTTATAAAGAATCAAGCAAAAAAAATTGAAAATCAAAAAATTTGACCGCTAGGCAGCGCTTCAAAAAAATTATAAATTTTTCGTTTTGTCCATTTTTGACCACCCAAACAATTTTCTGAAAAATGGCATATTCGGAAAATGGAGTTTGGGTAGATAGTGTTGAATTTTTTTTTGTTGGAATCGATTGAAAAGTGCACGAAATACAATCATTCCAAAAAATCTTTCGAAAAAACACGAAATTTGTGAAATGATTTGTTTGTCTGTCTGCATTTTTTTCGAGACATTTCTTAAATCGCCGGAAACTAATTCTATTCGAAAGTAGGATGAAAACCGAGCATACATGTCCCTTTAAATTTTTAAATTTTGTTGCGTAAGTTCCTAAGGTATGGATTCGAAAAATGTTCGGACGCACTTTTTCAGTTTTTCTTCGAATGGCCTTCTTTCTGAGCATATGAAAGTTAAGGTAATGATCTATATATCGTTGGAAAGCTACGAACTTCAGCTATCCATATATAATATGGATAGAGTTAAATAGAGTGCGTAACTCATTTTGAGGGGTAAAGCCTCTACTAACACCGCAAGTGCGAGTAAGCGTACTCCAATATTTGTTTCTGTGTTCATAATACTTGTCCAATGAGAAAATTTTAATTTTCCGTCCAAAATTGGTATTTTATATGTAGTGTAAACACTAAACACTCAAAGAGTTTGTATTGGTGCGTTTTTTGGCACAAAAAAACGAATTTGATATTAATTTGGCGATACAAGTTATTTTCGACACAATTTTCATACAATTGTTACCAAAAATATGGATTTTTGTATGGAAGCCATAAATTATATCGTAATGAGCTGAAACTTTGCACACGTTATTTTTTCACAAAAAATAACATTCTAAATTGAGTAAATTTATTATATGGAATAAATTGATTGATTGATTGATTAAAAGATGTTTACAGCCGAAGAGTAAGTAACCAAACCCGGCTTGATATACTGGACACATTGATTCGAAGCATTTTTTTAAATTTTCTCTCATAGTTACTCGTTAGAATTATCAAATTAAAAACCTCTGTCGAAGTGAAGAACGAGTTACGAAACCAAAATTTGAAACACAACATTTCTGATATCAATTTTGTGACAAAAATTCCTTCATTTTTACTGTCAATATGGACTACTGACGCAATGCAACGTTCTAGGCAACGTTCCGAATGTACAAAGATATTATAGCAAGTGTTCAATGTGAACAGATTAAATTCACTTCCAATTCATTCAGATCAAATTCACTTCCAATATCTTCGTGTGCACACAGTTCTCATTTTCATTAGATATATAAATAGCGCTACGAAGCAGATTAGTTTTTAAAATAATCGGCGTATAAAAGTGAAAATAACAAATATAAATGTTTGAACTAAATGAGACAATTTGTCTATCTAAATGTCCATGCTTTACTACAAACATCTATGTGTGCAAATTATGTATTTCCATGATTAGATGAATAACGGGATTTTTGACAATAAATCATACACAAATCAATCAATACAGTGACGATACCATTCTTTGTCTCTGCCTTACCCACGTAAAAATATTCGACCGTTTTATTCTTACAGCTTGCATTGTGTGACTGAGTTAACGCATAAAATATTAATCTAATTAAACTAATTAATATTAAAAAAAATCTTTCTTTATTTTTATATATTCCATTTTAAAGACATTCAAATAAAGCTTTCATCGCGAAAGATAAGATAGATACCTAGGGGAGAGAAACCAATGCTTGTTTCTTTTAATAGTTACCAAATCATGGCACAATATCAAAATGGCGGATCAAATAATTTTAGCTAATTTTTCTAGTTTTTGCTAGTTTTTTCTAATTTTCCTAGTTTTTACTTGGAATATAAAAAACTAGCTAATGGTTTCCGTCCCCTATCTTATCTAGGTTTATCTTATATTTTGTCTTTTTTTTTGGTATCTTATCTTGATTTTTTAAGATAAATAATATATTTTGGTCATTTATTTAAAAAATTCATCAATTGTCGGTATGATTAATTTGCTCGTCGAAGCGAAAATATTCAATTTCATGACTCAATTCGTCAAAATTATATTCGAATTCTTCGTTATAAAATTCCATTGCATGCCTATTACGTAGGCTGTTACTTATATTTTTGGCCTAATAATAAAAAACAATAATTCATCAGTGAAAATGGCTTTATTTTTTTTCAAAGTACTCTCCACGATGATCGATACACTTTTGCATTCGCTTTAACCATTTGTCATAACAGTTTTCCATTCCGCGTGAGACACCTCCAAAACGTGTGTTTTGATCGCATCAACTGCTTCTTCGGGCGTCGAAAATCGTTGACCACACAGTTTATTATTCACGTACGGGAACAAAAAGAAATCGTTGGGTGCCAAATCAGGACTGTACGGCGGATGACCCATCAATTCGAACTTTTGAGTGGTCAAATATTCAGTTGTTTGATGATATGTGTGAGAGATCATATTCTGCGACGGCGTTCGTTTTTTCTCAATTCATCAAACACTTTGGGCCAACAAATGGTGGTGTACCAATCAGAATTGACCGTCCTACGATGCTTTAGTGGAGCGTTTGCTACATGTCCACTTACCGCGAAAAAACAGGCGACCATTTGCTTCGAATTGCTTCTTGCTCGAACAACTTTCGTTGGGTTATCTTCACTTTGGAAGACCCATACAGTTGACTGCTGTTTACTTTCGGGCTCATATCCATAGATCCATGATTCAACACATGTGACGATCTTATAAATGTCTTTTGATGCACCTCGATTGTATTTGTTGAGCATTTCTTTACACCAATTCACGCGAGCCATTTTTTGATCATCGGTCAATTTATGTGGGATCCAACGCGAGCAAAGTTTTTTCACGGCCAAATGTTCATGCAAAATCGTGTATATGCTTTTAACAGAAATGCCCAAAGATGCCTCAATCTCACGGTAAGTCACATGACGATCTTCCATTATCATGTTTCTGACAGCATCGATGTTTTGTGGAAACACAACTGATTTTGGACGACCTTCATGGGGCTCATCTTTGAGCGAACCACAGCCACGATTGAATTCATTGTACCAGTTTTTCACAGTGCTGAAGGATGGTGCTTCATCGCCAAAAGTCGAAACAAGTTAAGTAACAGCCCTAGTAAAATCAAGTTGATTGCATTCAAGAAATTCACCTTCGTATTGCATAAATTGCATCAAAGTATTACGCTAATCTTCATCTTCATCATCGTTAAATTGTCGTTCTCTAAAAACCCAGGTTCATCCAAATCGCCGTAAACCCATTATGCTTACACATTCCTCGATTTTCTTCCAATTGACTGTGGACAAATACGTAAAATTTGTGAGCTTTTGTATTAAAAGTCCAATTCGCAGAACACATCCGACAACTTCAACGCACGATTCATGGGCCCGATTACTTCGACCGATTAATTTTTTCGGTTCGTCAAACCATGCTTTTTTCAATTTTCAAAGAACCTTATTGTGTAGTTGATACCTGATGCCACACCGTAAATGTCGAAATTTCTTGCACCTCCAAAGAACTCAAAATTTTCATAGACAATCAGGAACAATGAGTTGAAAGTTTTTCGTTTATCCACACATAGATCACGAGGAGATCCCAATGGATTGCCTGCGCACGTGATTTGGAAGTGCCATCGGAAGGCAGGTAATGGAAGGTGCAATGCATCAATATGAACGCACCGTTTTATTGATAATAACGGTGCGTTCCAGCACCTTGCACGCCCTCCTTCCAAGCCGCACAGGTGTGATCAACAAGGTGTGAATACAATCTAATATAGACACGCCCCTGTAGTACAACAACAGCAAAACAAAGTAAAACGCATTATATTTCGCATAAGAAAAATTAACTTTATTAAACGCTTCCATCCTATTCTAAAATTTCACATGGGGATGATTGTGAGGTTTTTCATTCCACTCAGAACGTTTGACTATTCGAAGGAAAAACACTTTTTGCTCAAGATTTGCATGAAATTTAATAAATAAAACTTTCGAATCTATTGAATGGAAAGTTATAATAAAATATTCTTCATGAAAACTTATGTTTTTTGTGATGGCGAGAGAAAAATAAAAAGAAAAAAATATATATTTCTGCCCGGAAACAAATCAGAAACTCTTTCGTCTTGTATGCTATTTAGGATATTTATACAAAGAATTGTGTTTTTTGTGATGGAAATCTTTACCCGATACAGTTTCTGATTAGTTTTGACCAGACATATGTTTTTTTTGTGATTTTAGGCATAAATTTTTCATAAATAATGTTCCTTCGCCATCATAAAAAACACACATAAATATTATTTTATTATTATTATTTCATTCAATAAATTCAAACGTTTCAAAATTTACTCGCAAATATCGAGCAGAAATAGTGTTTTTTTTTTTCTTTTAAGAAAAAGTAAAGTACTTAAGTACTCTTTTTTTCTAACTCAAATACTTGTGCTACAGGAGCGTATATAACATATGTAAAGAAAGTTTTGAGACTAAATGCAGGCGTTTATTGCGCTACATAAACAAAATCAAACATGTCAACCAATGCACATAGGAGACTTAACGGGACTCCTACTCTACTGTCAAACACGATTTACACAAAAAATTCCATTCGCGATGACGTACAAATTGGATTTACGAAAAAGCGAGAGTCGAGCGCTATCCATCCAAATACATTGTGACGTCACACATCTTACACAGAAACGGCATCTTTGTAAAACAGGCTAACTACAATATAAAAGTATAGCGAGAGAGGAAGGGAGTGAATAAAAAGGGGAAACAGATACGTATGATTTACATTGTAGTTACTAGTTAGCCGGTTATTAATAGATGGCGTTTATATAGTGTGTCCTTATTGCGCTTGACTCTTGCGAAAAAGTGTCTCAAATGGTTTTGGCAAGCTAAACACAAACAAAATTCTGCATATGTCTAAAGATGAACCAATCTGTCTTCGAACCATGTGTTGTGTTTCATGAACTTAATATGAAGACAAAGATTCTTGAAAAAGCAGAAAGTCCGGTCGTATTCCGAATTTAAATGCTCAAACCCTTCAAAATTGTCATCAAGTAGCGAAAACCGGATTGGTCAAGCAACCATTCATTTTTGTTTATTCTTATGGTTACAGCACATCCGAATTTGAACCAAAAGAATATATTTAGACACGATCAATAGCAATCAGCTAAATAAGTTACGAAAAAATTCCAAATAGTGCCAATATTGGCTGTTCACTTCGCCTCATAGCATGTTGCATTGAAAAATTCAACATTTTGGAGAGTGAAACATTACTCGCCAAATCGAACCACGAATCAAGTTCAAGTGGTTTCTCTTCCATTGATAATGTGTTGGGCACTACTATAAATGGCTAGAGACGTTGATAAACCGAACTCTGATAAAGGGGTGTTTGTATGGTATGATCTTCTTTGGAAGGTGTTTTAAAGCTATTATTCGAAAATTTAGTGCTGAAACGTAAGGTTAAACCTCCATTACTTGCTCTATTATCAACCATTTATTGTTGAAATCGATAGAATTTGTTGAGAACTATCTGATTAAAGACAAAATTGTGTTTTACAAGCAGAAAAAGCCACAATAATGGCTCACTTCTTAAAAAATAGCATTTCCATGAGAAAAGGACCATCTTTTCAACTTCACAAAAAGACACCAAATTAATTATTTCTCGTTTATTTTTGGATGTATGTTATAGGCGAAAGTCCAAAATACTTGAAACGTGCAACAATTGGTTGAATGGATTGAGAGAAAGTTGAAAGAAATTGACAAATCGGTCTGCCAAAGCATGATTTTAAAGGTTTGATACATACTTCGAAAAATCGAAGACAATGGTCCGTTCAGTTTCAGAATAAATCTAACTACCACTGAGAGAAATTTTCAAATTGCTTCTTTGGTGTTCAAATTGCGTTCGCTTGAATTTAGTCTCAAAACTTTCTTTACATATGTTAAAATTCCCAAACTTGTCTCGATGCAGATTCTAAAAATGGTTCTCTTATAAAATTAAGAAAAAAATTAGGCAATCCACAGGCCGACGGTGAAACCGCACCACCAGCACCTGCCGTACAGGTTGCAGCTGCCTCCACCGCGGCCAATGCAAATATGCTGCCGCCTGAAGTTATCGAAGGGCTTCAGGAAATTGAAGAGATATTTCAGGATGCTCTACGGCAGGTGCAGATCATAAAACGTGCCCTAGGCCTTTAGTGTAAATAAAAACAACATATTTGATATTAATCAGTTCATTGCACTAATAGACAAAAGCGTTAACATGTCCACTACTATAAAAACGACTAGTAGAGCATTCGTAGAATCTTTCTGCATTTTCCGTTTTACTCTACAGAAAACCAAGCAGAAAACCTAGAGAAAACATGTCCGAACGAATGAACGTGTTCAACAGATTGTCTATTAGTGTTATTATACTGTCCTAGTTTTTTTCAACTTCAAAATGCAACAGAGACGGGACTAGTCATTCCTACCTAATTCGGGACCAAGGAATTCAGTGGTGATAACCGGTTTTTTTAGTTGGCTCATGACTAAAAAGAAAAAAATTTTTTTTTGAAGTTTCCATTTTTCACTATTCTGGGAGATGAGGTGTTTATCAATCGAATATTGTGAAAATTGGTATTGGGGGGTTTTTTGGCACGAGAAAACCGATTCTGGCATTTATTCCAAGATTTTTTTTTAGTCATGAGCCAACTAAGAAGAACGGTTATCACCACTGAATTCCTTGGCCCCCTCCCCCGAATTAGGTAGGAATGACTAGTCCCATCTCTGTTGCATTTT